GCCCATACTAATACTATTACTACAATCATAATTGAAATACTGTTTTGTTACGTAAATATATTTCGTTCTTTTACATACATGTGTTGGTTTTTTTCTTCCTCAAATAATTGTTTTAAACGTGAATGAGAATTATTGTTGGTTTACTGTCAGTATATTAGGCGGGAACTTAGCGCGTGTAAGCATCTATTGGCTTCCCTGTCTGTCAGCCTTACGATTATCCTAGCGTTGTTTGAATATGTTTGTTCGCAGGAGAAGCAAACGTAAATGGTAGTACAAATATACAGAAGCTGTTGGGCTGGTTTAGCTGCTCAAATGTGCTAAGTGTTGCAACCTATACAAGTGTTACATTGACTGTAATCAAATAATCTTTTACATTGACCATTATCAAATTGATGGTATTCCGTTGACTAATAGTCAACCATTAAAAGAGCAAGTTTATTTAAGTGGACTTTTCATAGGGGCCGTATACATCACAATACATTTTACCTACTCCTACACTTATGATATATACAGCTATGATACATAGCATTTTCTTAGGCCACTATCACACATATATGAATTCTCTATCAGTTCTCTACTACCACCATCCAACCTATATAACCGAATACCCCACCCCTTCGCGTATTTTTTTACGATCCATTTTTGGTGACGAATTATTTACATGCTGAGTGTACTAGTAAATCTATAAATGACTGCACTAGTCCAGGACAAACTACAAGTCCTGGTCAGTTCTGAGTAATCAAAACTTTTTTTTTTCTAACGTGTTTTCGCCGTGTTTAGTCATGAATGTCCTGTGGAGGCGGGCCTGAATTGACGCATTGGAAAACCTTTCGACTTGCACTGTTTGTGTTTATCTCCCCCTTTTTGCATCAGTTTATCCCACATCTGCCCGCCTGTGTTCCCCCCGCGTAATGTTTAGTTCCGTGGCATTTCTGCCGTAAACATCCATCCGTCGATGGTTAATTTGTAATGGAAAAATTATGCATTCACATCGCAATTAGGTCTGCGTAATTAACCCCGCTAATTTATTTTGGTTTAAACTACAACCAGGAACTAAAATAGCCGATTCTTTCTTAAATTATAAGTGTCTTCGCTTTCCGGAGTCTGGATTGTCGATTATAAAAATAATTATAACAAGTTTTTTTTTTAAATTTGGGTTCTTGAGAAAACAATTTAATTTTTAAAATTCGGGCAGGGGGAGGGGGGAGCCACTAGATACTATTTTTAACTACAAACACAATTAAACTAAACGGATACTTTCTTTTTGTGAAAAATAAATCCGCGTGTTGTATTGTGACGCGAGCACATGTAAACAACAAAGCGGTGTCGTGGGAGAAAGTGTTCGTGTTTATTCTTTGTTGTGGTTGATGTTACACAGTACTTCCACTCACGGAAGAGGACATGTTTTGACAATGGTGCTCTGTTATCAAACGTTACTTGTGGTTGGGTCATAGTCAGATTGAATTGAAATCCTCGAGTTAAAATACTTGAATTGACACACACACACACACTTGTTCTAATGCCACAATAATGGGATTTCCTTTAAAAAGTTGTGTTACTTTACTGATAATTAACTCAATACAAATATAACTTGCGAACGTTATTGCTAATGCTATCCCTAATCCAAAACCTGAATATAACCCAAATCTCTAACCAAAACACTAAACCTGAAGAGTCTCTTGTCGGACATCGGTAATATCAAACGTCAATTTTTTTTTTTACTGCTGTCGCTACCCCAACCCCTAGCATTGTAACCCTTAACATGGGCTCTGAGACTGAATTTTACCAGAAAAAAAAAACCCGTACCATACTACATTGCACTTTTAATTTCTTTATTATGTAAAAACAGTCATTTAACGAATCTTGTAACCTATTTCACTTGGCTGCGCTATAGTATTTAAGTTTGGGTTCGTGCTCAGGGCATTCGGGGAAGATGAAGAAGAGTTCATCTGTTTCATTTACGAGGGGGGATAGTGTGGTCAGCACTTTCACCAGCCGCCTTAGTTTCCCCTAACAGGAGTCAGGTACCCCGTCAGAGCTGGGTGGACTCTGGGACGTCCTACAGACTCGAGCCCGGGGGTCCGAACTTTAGACTTGCGGGTTAGCGTGGTGTGTATCATAATATAATTAAAAAATAAATACCGTCAGCGCGTGTTATCTGACAAGCTTTCTCTTCAAGCACAAATCCCTATCATTTGTATACACTTTACTACTTAACCACAGAGGGAGGAGCTGCTGGCTTGCGATATAAAACTTCTTATCGATCAGCCGTACTTAATTGTAACGGGAATCGCCGATAAAGATACTGAAACCTTTAGGCTAGGATTAGGCCTGGGGTTTCGGTAATGTAATCGGCGGCATCGATATGTATGTTTGGCTACTTGACGATTACCAAAGTCGAATGGTTATCCAAAGTGGAATGAAAACTCAAATTCAAATGAATACCAAGGTCGCGGGATGATTGACAGCAGGTTGTATCAGTACTTCACCAAGCACACACCCGCATTCTTATGCCGGTACCGTCGTCATTTTAAAAAAAAAACCGCTACAATAACAAATTTTGTGACTATAAAAAGGCCATTCCCCGTAAATCACCAGCACATGAAAGTTCTCAATGTGACATTGTAGGGAGGGGGGGGGGGGGTCTCTCCCGTTTGAAACACCTACAGGAATCAAGGCCGTGTTAGCATCGTTGTTTATCTCCCCTCCTCTACACGTCAGCTGTACCATGGTCATCATTATTTTGTATTTTTATTTTAAAACAAAATATCCCTGAGAATTTGTGTTCTATGAACATAACAGATAATTTTGACTTGAAAAAAAAAGTTAGCCAGCCATTCTCGATCTATAGGTTCCTGTTGTATTTATTTGTGTGGAGTGTTTTCTTTTCTTTTTATTAAAAAATCCTTCTAATTATATCCCTCTTATTCAGCCACATTTTTCCTTATGAGATTTCATTTCTCTTCTACATGTAGGTAACTAACAACTCCTTTCCTATCAGAACTCTATTTTTTATTAGGCCTAACAACAATTCAGCATCCTTTAAAATGTCTTTACCTTCCTGATGTTCAAAGTTGATTCAGTGATTCTACACAGTGGCCCAGGCATCCCCCTTCCTGCTATTTATCACATCAACACCCACGGAGCAGCTGGTTGCCCCCCCCCCCCCCCCCCCTGTACCTGGCATCACAGGGTGTCAAATATTTATTTCCTAGCCCTTAGAATTTTTTTTTTCTTTTTTCTAACATTTTTTTGCTGTCATGATAATTTTTAGAGGATTTAAAAAAAAAAATGTGTTTATGTTTCTCCATTTTTTTAGCATTTCAAATCCACCTTTGCAGTCTTCATTAACTTCATTTTATGTATTTGGCATAGTTTTTAAAAAAATATACATTTTAGTTTCATTTTATGTTTATATGTGTATCTAGATCTATTTCTTTCTGTTTGTGCCAATCAGTGCTAAATTAAAAATCCTACAACTTTTTTTTATCACCTTACCCCAAGCCATCAAAAACAAGTTTACACTAACTGATCTCCATTAACATACCAACAAACAGTTCATAAAGGGAAACTTATTTTTCTTACCTTTTTTCTCCTGGGCATTTCTCTTGTTGCTGTTTTGTTTACATGCATGCAATGCACTGTGTAGGTAGGGATAGGAAGGGGGGGGGGGGGTGTCTACAATGTGGTGAGCACATGCTATTAAATTGATGTGACCCAGGTTACATGAGCAGTGGTTATGGCATTCCACTCCCTGTAAGGGGAGGTAATTTTAAAAAGTGCTCAGAGTTACCTATATTGTTTTTTTTTTTAACTTAAAGATTCAAAAAAATTGTGTTTTGCTTGATTATTAGCAGAGAAATATTTTTATTAATCAATTTTACTGTGGGAAAACAATGGTGCTGTCGCCTTCTTATTGTAATTGAGAGCTATCTAGATAATTTATCTGGTTTTCATCTGTAAAATATTAATTGGATTTTTGAGACTGGTTTTGTTGAGCAAATATATTGATAATTGATTATGGCTTCCATAATACTGAAAAGGGTGTGGTTTGCTGTCACCCATCAGTTTGACATGCAGGGGAAGTTCATTTTAAAAATTGTGTCTAGTAGTGACAGATTGATTACACATGATTTTAAATTGTAATATAAAAGCTTTTATTGTTTGATGTTTTTGATAAAAATGTTAGGCATATTTATAAACATATCATTGATAGATGCCTTAATAAGATAATGTTTTTGCTAGAGTAAATAACTTATTCCTTTGTGTTTAAGTTGCTGTGTGAAGGTAGGCATGTATAGTGAAATTGAATATACTTCTGGTTCTTGTAAACAAAAATTGCTGCATGACAATAAAAAAAATTATGCCAAGATTATTGGACGGGATAGCATTACTAGTCAACAAAAGTATCATGTGTTTGTAATTCTATTTATTTAACTTCAAAATTCCTGCTAACAGTTCATAATTTAAACAACTGTAAACCTCTCCATGGTTGGATAATAATGTACGCTTACTCGGTCTCAGATTCCTGGCCCTAGTTCGTAGGATGTCCCTGAGTCCACCTAGGTCTTATAAGTAATTGACTCATGTTAGGGTGAGTAAAGGAGGTTGAGCATAGTACTGACTGTCACAGCCCTTTTTTGTGACTGGGTTCATGGCACAAACTAAAGGCACATACAAACCACATTATTGGTGATTTTACAGTCTTTTATTGATATCAGATAATATAGCAGCTACACTACTAGAACCACGACTTCAGTTTCGTCATCTCCTCGCGCTCTATCTACCTCTCTCTGCTTCCTTTCCTTAGCGCATGCGCACACCCATCCTATATTTTATATTCATATCGCCTTTTTAAGATACACACTCGAAACATACATTCATCTACATTTAACTGTTACACTGACCACACTATCTCTACAAATGCCCAGGTCTTACAAACATGGACCATTATAATACTTTCCTGCCTGATTTAAACAAATATTGTATTCTGTTCCCAGCTGGTACTTTGGTATGCTGTCACGAGAAAGGACTAACAACATTTTGCTTGGCCAGGAACACAGTGGTGTATTCCTTGTTAGAGAAAGTCGGACTATGCCTGGTGATTTTGTTCTCTGTGTAAAGTAAGTTGGTGGCAGTTACAACAGATTAAACACTAATAATTGAAGAGAAACACTAAAAGAAACACATTGAATTGAACAGATAACAATGTTAATTATTTCATCTCTTGTACAGAGAAGATCAAAAAGTGAGCCACTACATCATCAACAGAATTCAAGCAAGTGGGAACTCACGATTTAAAATTGGGGACAAAGAGTTCCCAGACATCCCTAGCTTATTAAACTTTTATAAAACTCATTACCTTGATACTACAACACTCATTAAACCAGTAAGTCCTTGCATACTTTCAGCCTCTTTATGTAATAGCTAGAATGAAAAATATTCTTCATTCTTTACAGTAAGGTCTGCATGTTAATATTTTACTACAAATATTCAAGAATGATTGTTTAAAAATCTGTTGGTAAATTTAAGCAATTAATTTTTATTCTAGATTTTTAAAAGAAAAGTTATGTTCTAAGCTTCTTATATCATTTTTAAAATGTGAATATGTTATTTAATGTGGGTTTTTTATTACATAGGCACCACGAGCAAGGTTGTTGTGTAAATATGATTTTCCTGGAAAAGTGAGTATACATATATAAATATGCTACAAAATAGATATTGGTTTTTTTTTTTTTAATTTATTTCTTAACTTTTTTTTTATCTGCTTAGTCTCACTGAGCTCCTCAATCCTGGTTAACTTTTTTATGTGTACATGTTAAAGCTGGTTTCTGTACATGTTTTAGTAAGTTGCTGTACCCTCTTGCTGAATCATCTTAATGCAACAAGTGTATATATTGAATTTAATTCCATGTTATGTTATTGTGTAAGAGGGTTACCTTATAATACTATTAAAGTATTTCTTCCATAACACTTCTTGTTTATCAAACAATATAGGATCCAGAAGATCTTCCCTTTAAAAGAGGAGATATATTAGAAGTCATCTCTGAAGATGAAGAGGAATGGTGGACAGCAAGAAATACAAATGGCCAAGTTGGCCAGATTCCAGTACGGTACACACAGCCAGTAAGTAGTTGGCCTCTATATAATTGTATTCTCGCATTGTTAAAGAGTTTCATCCCCAAAACTCCAAATACCTCACTCTTTCTCTCTATTCATTATCTTTTTATATATTCTTCATTTTTATTTTGTTTTTTATTGACAACAAAAAATTATGTCAATCAGTACTATCACTTTTGAAAAGCCTTAAAAAAAATCTCTCTCAGTGATTATTCTTAAAGACTGTATTGCATAGTTTGTTTTTAATTGTATAGATAGAGCAGAGTCAACAAACAAATACTACAGCTCCTAGACCACAACAGCAAGAATACCAACAGCCAGATGTGAGACCTTCCCCAATACATGATGTAAGTAATCTAAAAGTTTTTCCATTGGCACTAACAGTATGGTGTTATATTACTGATCAGTTTAGCATACAGCATTGATACATTTCAGGGTAAAACTTAAGTATCATGGAAACGGTATAACAGTTGATAACTAAATAAATACATTTTTTAAAAGGTATATATATAATGTAGATACATATCTAATGTCACACACCTAAAAAAATATTACTTTCAATACAAACGCCTGGATTTATTTTCATTTATTTATTGTTCATGAAATTCATCTAGATCATAAATTATTAAACTTTTAACTACGAATAAAGCTTATGTAAACAAATAGAGCAAAAGGTTGCTAAAAATTGCTAGTGTACATGTGAAATATGTTGAACTCTGTTATTGTTTAAAACCAGCTTTGAACAAATACTGTACTTTTGTTTTTATAAGCCCTATAGAGCAGGACTGGGAGTAGCTATGACTAATGTGCCAATACAGGTATCTCCTCCAACCATACCGGACTGTTCATCAGTATTTTTTTGCTTTATGTGTGCACGCATACATTTTATTCCTGCTAGAACTAAAACCTCCATTTGACATCCCCAACTACTTTAGATTATTAGATACATTTTGTTTTTCCATATTTAACAACCAAGACTAAAACTAATTTAGTTTTAATTAAGTTAAAAATAAAAGTTTAGCAAAGCACTAGTTTTAAAATATTTCAATTAGCTTACACTTACAGAAATGAAAACTGGAAATATGTTTGCAATATTTAAAGCTTTAAAATATTTTCAGAATTAATTGATACTAACATACTTTGCAAGGAAGTAGTTGAAATATAGTTTTTCACTACATTTGTGCTTTATTTATATTTTAATAACTTTAATGTTTAACTAAAATTTAACTAGAGAATTTTAGATTTTTTTTTTTATAGTCAGTTGTTTTTTTTAAAAATGTGGTTCACATAAATCTAGTTCATATACAGCTAAAATGAATTAGCCAACCAAAGCACTTTAAAAATTAAAGTTTTGTTGTGAGACCATATATTAAATATACAATAAGACATTACAATTTATATTTACAACAATATGCAAATGAAGAGGCAACATTGAGTATAAAATACGTTTAGGTGAGACTATATATAAAAAATAACTTTTAAAAAGTCATTGGTGTCAAACTATATCTTTAAAAATATCTGGTGTGTCTACCGAAAAATTTATTTTACAGTGCACCTAATTTACCATCTTAAACTTATATTGACTAATGCTTAAAATTTAAGAAAATATTTAAACAATTAGATTCAGTAGTATGTGTCTCAACTTTTCTTAGCAGTAGTGGATATACTGTGCTTATTCACTAGGTATTTCCCAAAAGTAAGTTGTGTGTAAAATAAAATAAAGCATATACTTTCTTATAATTTAAAAGCTTTAGTGGTATATTTTTCCACCTCCATCAAGGATATTTTGCTAGATCAACTAGTTTTTGAAAAATATCAATGTACTTTTAAAAAAAATCATATTAAATTAACTAAGTGACATTTAAATTCCTAACTTAAAGTTTATGTGAATTTCTTTCATTGAAGTTTGTTTTCCTTTTGATTGTCTGCTTTTTTTTCATTTGTTAAGAAATATAACCAAGAATATCTGTTGACCCATAGTTTTAAAACCATACATTCTTGCATTGCCTTATGTTCTCTTGTATCCCAAACTACCCACGAGTATAACAACATTGAAATACAATACTAAAAGATTTTAGTAAAAAAAATGTAGAGAAAAAAAAATCTTTATTCATGCACAGTAGTTTTTAATTAGTATATCAGTTCTTCCAATTGTATTGTGATTACACTTTCTCCCTGTAGATTGTAATCTATTTTCCTTTAACTATTTTCATCCCTAGTTTCCAGCATTTATAGAAAAGTACTTACAGTAGCTCACATTAAAGTTTAAATGACAATAAAATGAAATATTTAGTTCACTGTTACTTTTATTTCTAAAGGTTTAATTTTAGTAGGTAAAAATATGAAAACACGCTTGGTAAAGTTTACTTCTTTATTTAGTCGTTTGTATTATACTCCTTTATAGATCCAGTTACCAGCTAAAGCACAGGTTATACTTCAAAGAATCCCAAGTGCTTATGACAGAAGGCAGCTGCGATTAGAAGTTTGTGCACTTTTCATTTAATTAATAAAATATCAATTATAATTATTTTTCTCAATAATTCAACCTGATAATCTTTGTTAAATTGTCTCTTTTTTTCTGTTAACCAAATAAGTTTATGTAAATCTCCTTAGCATAATTGTTATATATTATTATAAAGTTATTAATTAAATGTCCACAGGTGGGAGACATTGTGACTGTATTGAAAATGAACCTAAATGGACAATGGGAGGGTATTTCAAATGGCAAAGAAGGAATCTTCCCTTTTACTCACATTCGATTTCTTACCCCAGAAGAATTGAGAAATTTAAACACATAAGTAAAAAGTTTGTTAGAGCCTTCCTGTTATTAGTCATTTTGCTATTTAAAAAAATGGAATGATCAAGTTCTGTTAAATGTTATTTTATTATGGTATTCAGAAGTGTTAAAACTTATTGTAAGATTGTTGTTACTGTTAAATTACTCAGTGGTGAAAGTTGTGAAGTGTGTTTCAACAATTATTGTCTATCACTTAAAGTATTCTATTATTAAAAAAACCTTTTAATGTCTTTGTATCTGTCAAATTTGTTTCATTCACATGTGTTAAAGTGTGACAACCAACCACTTTCTATGATTTTTTCATGTATTGAAGTTTGTAGGCAGGAAAATAATCTGTATCATAAATAATAATGAAGTCTTGAAGCTTAGTTAGTCAGTTATGTACTATTAATGAGATTTTATGTTATTACTGTTGAAAGTAGAAAAAAAATTTAATTAACGGAAGTAACTAATATTAAGTAAGCTGTTTTTTTTTTATAAGTGACTCTGAAAGCTTTGTATATTTGCTACAACCTCATCAGTTTGTTTCAATAGTTAAATTTTGCCTTTTTAATAGTAGTAGCTGCTGAAAGTGAGACAAAAAAAAACTTAAATAGTTGAAAATTATTCATGGTGATTTATTTATAGCTCTATTATAATGTGTCAAACAAAATCATTTTTTAAAATCACAAACAAAATTTATTACAAAATTATTATTTTTTAAAAAGAAAATGTTTTTAAATTTTACTCCCAGCCTTTACTAGATTATCTCAAAAAAAATCTGTATTTGAATTTTAAAAGTTGTGGCCTTGAATTGATAAAAAAATGTTTGTGTAAAACATCACACGTTATTTTGTGTATGTCAGATTTGATGTGTTAATGTTAATTTTACTATACATATTTTCAGATTCTGCATAATTATCTTCTGCTTTTCATACTCATGCTGGTTGTCACACTACTATATTGTTATACAAAAATTTACTTAGATAGTTAAGTTTCTGCAGATATTGTTGTACAGAAATTAATTTAGATTGTTGAGTTTCTGCTGGTTTTATATATTCTTACTTTAACATCCACCTTTAAAAAATTTACACCACAATTTATATTCATGTTTAAAATGTATTTTTAGAAATATTAAAATGTTCTTTTATTAAATTGATTAAATAGTTTAAGGTGTTTTTTTATAGTTTATTTAGTCATATGACTACCCACACTACTTGTGTTTAGCTAGTGCATTTCTCTATTATTTATGTTTGTATATTGATATTCAAGGTGCATTGTTTGGGTTGCTATGGTATTACTTTTGTTTAATATTCTAGTTAAGAAGTCTATTTCTTTTCAGCAAATGTTGAAAATATTTTGACTCATCTATGGTTTTCTCTTATGCTATTTTTTAAATTTCATTTAATTTAATAAGTACAAACATGTTGCTTAATATAGCCTTACTGCTTATATTTATTAAACAAAGCAATAATGAGTGTGATAATTCTAGAAAAAAAAGTTATGATTTTAAAAGATTAGGATGCATTGAAAAAATAGTGTGTAAAAGTAATGATGCATCTATTATGTCTGTTCAGAATCAAATGCTGTTATACTATAGCTGTCTAATTTCACTGTAGTACGTTTCATGCTCTTGTTTCCACTTTCTTCCATTTTTCAAGTATTAACTGTTATTACTTGTCTCTTTGACACATTTGCTTGACATTAAATTTGTTGTGCAAATCAGGTATGCTCCAAATATTAGTTAGTTACTGTATAAGATACAAGACTTTAAAGATTCACTATAGAGTGCAACAGTAAATACATGATCGATATTTTATTTATCTGCTTTAATTATGTTTTTTAAAATAATGTCAGGAAAATAGGGTAAAGGGTTAGTAATGTAGATCAGTTTGTTTATGTTCCTTCTTTTATGTAAATATTTGCCCTCTATAAATATCTAAAACAACATAACTCAAGTAAGATGAGAGTTGCGCTGTTGTGTTTTTTATGCAAATGTTTGTGACATTGTGTTTAAATAGTCCAATTAAAATGTGCCTATTATAAAAAAGAAGAGAGTTATTAATTGAAATACTTTTATATATATATAATAGCTGTTTTGTAAATTTTAAATCATTTGACAATGTGACCCTATAAGATGTATAATAAACTATTCTTAGAACTGAATTCTTTTGTTTTATTGTATTTTTAAGTTTTAAGATATGTTTTCTAAATAAAAATGCTATTTTAGTATTAATTGTTAGGGGAAAATAGATGCAAAGCCAGTTACATTACTGTTGTCTAAGTAAATAAATAATTTCCTTAAATTCAACAAAGTAATAAGTTTCAAGGAAAGAATTTTGCAGATCATTGTGTAGTATACAATTAAAATACAGTATTATTGTGATTATTTATAACCATAAAAATAATGGAAATTTTTGCTCAAATGTTTTCCTTTACAAGCATGCAAGTTGGAAACTGTTTTTTTTTTAAAAAACTTTTCTATAGTTTCCATCCCTCTGTACATAGAAGAGTATTGTTTTAAAGTTTTTTTTGTCCTTAAATCTTTTTAGATAATTGATCTCTTCCTCTTTCTTTCATCTTAATAATAAATATATTAAAACCTTGTGTATTATGTAAAGTTTTGTTGACCAGAGAAATTATAATAATAATCCATTTTTAACAGTACTTTTTTAAATATTTGGGTAACAAAACTTTGAATTATAGCAAACTTCCCTGTTGTTTTTTAACAGAAGCTTTCATACAGTGCTATTACAACAAAAGCTCCTAATATTAAAAATTTCTCTAAAAAATAATCATACTTAAGTTCAAGTTTCTTGACAATTGCACAGCAGTTTAAAAGACAGCTGAGTTATTTAATGACACATACTGTGTTAGGCTATTTCAATACTGGTCATAATTTGAAGCTATAAGCCTTACTAATATGTTAAATGATACATTTGTTCACTACTTATTTTTGTTATGGTATTTGATTAGCAAAAGTAAGAGTTATTTCATAATCTTCTCTTTAATGTATTAATATCCTTTACTTAAGTCAGAAATTAAAAAAAAAAACAAATTTGTAATATCTAACTTGTTCTAGTTTAATTGAGTTTTTCAAATTTCACAAACAAACCAAAACATATCACACCATTTACTTCTAACAAACCAAACTCCTAGTACATGCATAACTTCACCAAGCATTAAAAGAAGCAGTCCACATTTTGTTCTAATTTTAGTTTAATATTAACTTGCATAAACATAATAATGGAATAGTGTTTTATAATAAATATTTATACATTTGAGTGTTGAAACCAAATAAAACTACTAAAAATAAAGTTTAAAATATATAGGATATGTAAATACAATGGCAGCTGAAGTTACAAGTAAATAAAAATCAGCGATCTTATAATCAAAAAGAATATTTAACCAGATACATTAGTAACATAGTTTAAAACAAATATGAACAAAATAAAGCGTAAAAAATAAAAATGTATAATAAATAATATCGTAAATGTATGTATTAGAATGCAAAAGAATCTGCCCTAAACTGTAAAACATTGTTAAAAGATGTTAATAATTAAATACTGTTTGAATAATAACAGTTAATAAAACATTAAAATATTTAGCCACCAAAAAAAAAAAATTTGGAATGGATTTATAATTTTGAAACAGATTTGAGATCACCCATTCAAAAAGTGGAGAATTATCTTATAAATAGAATCTGGTAAGAATAAAAATCTTCAATATTTAATCATTTAAAGACACTATTATGACAGTAAATAAAAGTCTGTAAACAATCTTATATAAAATTACTTAACAATAAAACATAAAATCTGTAATAAAAAATACCTGAATGGACCCAAGTCTAATGCTGAGATGGCAACTAAGAACAAATATAAAATGTATTCAATTTGTTTATCAACCTAATATCATGATCAACAGACTACTATTTTAGCTTATTGTAGAAATGAGTGTCAAATATAGGATATTTTTCTACCCCGTAAGTTATTAGCGTCAATATGAGGGAAGCCAAACTTGCACACAAAACCTGGCTAGTTGGGTCTAAAAGCATTATATTTGTAATATTCTGAATCAGCTAACTAAAAGTTGAAAAGCTAAATTTAGAAACTTTTTCGTCATGGTAATTATTTTTATTTAGTAAAATAGTAAATCACATTCATCCCTTTAGCTTTGATAACTTAACTGCTTGATAATTATTTTGATCACTGCTCACTAAACTACCTCATTTAAATAGTAAAAAAATGTAAAATCTTAATAATGTCTTAAAAACTGAAATCTTGTTTATATATTAATTTGTAATTGGGGATTCATTATTAACAGTGGAACAATCTTTTAGATCTTTGCCAGCTGTCTCTTTTTTTATAGCAAAGGTTAATGCACATTGAATAACAAACAGAGAACCCCACACAACAGGATACAGCCAAGGAATGCTACTTGATACTAAAGTAGCTCCAACAAATGGAGTTATCAGCCCTGGTATTTCAATCACCACATTCATCCATGCCATAGCTGTGCTTCTTATGTCTGTAGGATAAAGTTCTGGAGTAAATGCGTTCAATATGGAATAAATTGGAACCATGCTAAAGTAGCATAAAATTATCAAAACAGCTTTGTATGCATGTTCTGGAATGAAGCTGAAAACTAATAATGACAAGGCAGTCAAAGCACAAAATAAACGAAGAGTGCGAATTCTGCCCAGCATGTATCTTTCTATGAGTATCATGGCCAAAAACAATCCTGGTATTTCTCCAATAAATACAGAAAACATATTAAAATATGGGTCCACGCCCAAATTGCTCATGTATTCTGGTAGGTATGTGGTGACTCCCCAATAGCCGGATGCTTGAAGAAACCATATACAAGAGAACACCACTGTACGACTGCGGAGCTCTTTAGAAAACAGTTGCCTAAATCTACCTTTAGACTTACTTGGTGTAGGATAAATAATCATATCTGAAATTAAACATAGATCCATGTTTACATTATGTAAATGTACATATATTTATTTAAAAAAGGATCTTCAAATTTATCTGTTAATGTTAAGATTTTGCAGACTAAAATTAGCTTACCCAGATCAGGTATTTCACATTTATTAATGGCTGCCATTGTTTGTAACACCTTTACAGCTTTCTCCTTCTGCCCCCTAATAAATAAAAATCTGGGGCTTTCATAGAAAGCAAAAGGCTCATAAAACAGTAATAAAACAGCAGGAGCAGCACAAGCACCCACAAACCAGCGCCAGCCAAAACGAGGTAAAATCAACCAGGCTATACCACCAGCAAATACAGCGCCAAATGCTCCACACAGTGTTACAACTACAAGGATGGACCCTCTCTTCTGTTTAGGCAAAAATTCTAAAAAAAAAAAATAAGATACTTTTATTTTATGGTAAAAAGCAAAAAATATAAGAGTATAAAACTATTGGTAAAATAAAATACTTAAAAAAAACTTTTTAAAAAACCACGTTTTTCTTGTGGACTAAAAAGTAGAAAAGTTGGGTGGACTCAGGGACGGTCTACTGACTTGAACTCGGATTCGAACTCGAGACTAACGGGTTAGCAGTCCAGCTCTCTACCGCTAGACCACTCCGTCCCACACCAAGTGAACGCCTAATAAAATGTGTATAAAAGTACGGGATATTATTAGTACTTTATAAATTTACACGCGTTTTTGAGAAATCATGTCCTCAATTTTAGGGTCCTAGGGGCGTAATTTAATTAAGCTAATTTAGGTCTCTAATTGCTAGTTTTTATGATTGCATCTGAAATTGTTAGGCGAAAATAGCCTGCATGCCGAATTTCAGATCTCTAGAGCAATCAGAAGTGGGCTAATTTTCGTTGTCAATTTTAACAACAAACGCGAAGCTGAGTTAATAAAAACGTGTTAATATAAAAAATATGTGTTAATTGTAACAATCTTTTTAAAGTATTTAATGTACTTTTTAATTCTATTTGTACTCAAATGATGTTTGTGTGAATAGCTATTTGGATCTCCTGAAGCTTAACTAATCTTTTGTGTACATCATGGAGACTATTATGTCCATGTTAATTCACTTCAATTCAAAGGTATATAAATTAATCTATTGCAAATCCCACATGATTTATTGTTTAAAATCAGTTATGACTTATATTCTGGATAGATATTTTAAAAGCAACTCCATGATGCTTTTTCAACAACGAAAAAACATGATTACAATTTGCAACTGAGCTTGTGTAGTTTTTCTTTTATAAAACACGCATAGCCACAAACTAACACAACCCAGTCAGTTTTTATAACATTTTTATCATTAATGTAGGTACTTAAACTTACCAAGTAAAAGGACAAATCCAACAGATTCAAAAGTTCCTGTTCCTATGGTAACCATACATCGAAACAAAATGAAGAGGGGATAAGATGGAGCAAAGGCTGACACAACCCCAAACAAGGCAATAAAAACAATACCAATGAGAAAGGGCAACTGCCTGCCATATCTGTCACTTATAATTCCAGCAGCAAATCCTCCTATAATACCTGTGATACCAGTGCTGAAAATACAGAAAAATTATTTCAATGAAATACAGAGAGATAAAAATTAGTCTAAATGAGGGAACACATTGGCCTATCCTTAGTAACAATTATGAAGGTAGCGCAATATTCATAGAATAATAGAAATAAAAATCAAGCGTATTTTGTATTAGTTGCAGACAATTCATTTTTATTAAACAAGACAAAAATTAACACAAATAAGTTGTATTTTTCACTTTACCTAAAAGGCAACCAAGGGAAATCCATATCGCCTAATGCCCACTCGTTCTTTATGGGTATACTCAGAAAAATAAACAACATCATTTCAGAACAAACAGAAAAATAACCTCCTCCAACAAGCACCAACATTCGCCAATGGAACTGACCAAGCTGTAGGCTGGATAAAACATCATCCAGATGACAGAAAGGTTTCCCTCTATCAGTACTTGCAATTAAATGTATTCGAGAGGTATTTTGAGCATCAGTTGTTTCATTACAATGATCACCAACAAACTGCACTTGTTCACTTTCTAATAACACATCTGTCTTCAATTCTTCTTTTTCTGTCATGTTTATAATATTGATTAACTGTTAATCATTAACAGTTAACAGTAACAGCAATGTAAAATAACTGTCTGCACCTAAAAAATAAATAAAATAAAACAATGATTGGTAAAAAAAAATGTCTTAAAAATTAATTAATTAATAAGGTTACTTAAAAAACAAGTTATTTGGTTGTTCTGGTTTTTTAAATTGTTTGTTTTACTTTTAGACTTACTTTGAGCAATTTATTTATTAATTATAAATTATTATTGATGTCTATTACTATTATATTAATACACTATTATTATTGTGAACTATTGTCCCTGAGCGGCTTGAGTCAACCCAACTGACAACTCTGACGATGATGGAGGAAGGAATACTTTTACTTTTGTCTTTTAGTTAAAAGTAAAGGTCCTAGGGCTAGGTGGCTGGACATATTAAAAATTTTAAGAATTGTATATATATAGGGCCTATAGATCTAGATCTAGATCTTCGGATTAGTCTTAGAATTTATTAATAATTATTTCATTATCATATTACTATATTTATTTTAACTTAAATCATCATAGCATGCGTTGACCTTTAGCCTTTGACATCTCACGCAATTTTGAAATAATATTGTTTCTTTACATAAAAGAATGGGGAAAGGGGGGGGGGCTAAAAATCTAATCTAAAGAATGAATTTTTTTAAAGCATTATAATTTGAGTTAGGTAATAGGTTTATGCTCGTTTGCTCGACAAAAAAAAAATATATATATATATATAATCTAGCCGAATAACTATCCTATAGATTGAATATAACATGATATGATCATAATAGGTCTAAATATAATTGTGTAGGCCCTAAATACTTTTCTTTTACATAAAAAAAAATTAACAGCAAACCTGCATAAGTATTAACTAGTGCAGGGGTCTCCAAACTACGGCCCGCGGATGCGGCCCGCGTGGTCCTCTCATCCGGCCCGCGGCGAACTTTTTGTCCACGAAAAAGATTTTTATTGGAGGTGGCTGAAAACTTTGCCAAGAAAATTTAAAATAATTTGAAAATGTAGCATTGGGTGCAAATACCATTGCCCGCCGTGTTGCAGACATTGGTGAAAACATCGTGACTCAAATAGCGAAAAATGCAAGGGCTACGCCATTTTTCAATTGCAATGGATGAGTCGCTGGACATCTGTTCCACCTCTCAACTGCTTTTGTTCATTAGATGTGTAAATGAAGACATAAACTTAACACAAGAGCTGGCTTCCCAACATAGCATGTATGGCACTGTTACCGGAGAGGAGATATTTAATAAGTTAAAAAAAAATGCTGATTATAACTTGGACTGGACTAGCCTCAGCTGAATGTTGATGGAGGAAAGTACATTAGTGGCATAACGAAATCATGTTGAAAGATACAGACACGCAACATTTACCATATTATACAGCCGTAAGATGGCTAAATTGTGGGAAAGTTCTGAGCAGAGTATTTAAGTTAAGAAAGGAAATAGGTGACTTCCTGGAAAGTAAAGGCAAGCCACAGGCATGAATGTCTGATGAAGAGTGGGTATGGAAATTGACCTTTGCTACAGTCATAACTAGTGATTTAAATATTCTGAACCTAGAACTACAAGGAGAGTAAAATGTAGTTTCTGTTCTATACAACCATCTAAAGGCTTTCAGATCCAAACGTCTTGTTTTTGAAACAAGTACAGTCCAAAAACTTGACGCACTTTCAGCAGTGCAAGGTCTTCATGGCTGAAGCAACATCTCAGTCATTTAAATGCAAAATCATCAGCGACCTTCGGTTGCAGTTTCAGTAGCGGTGTTTTGACTTGGATTCAAAGGCAGAAGAAATGAAACTGTTTCAAAACCCAATTGAAGTAAATTTCGCCAGTTGCCCAGATGAACTGCAGCTTGGGGTCATTGAATTGCAAGCAAATGACCTGATTAGAAGCAAGTTCAAAGAAGGGTGGGTGGGTTTTTATAAGTTTTTTAAAAAAAGTTTTTGCCAAAGGAAGACTTTCCTAATATTTTTACACTTTTGCATCATAGTACCTTTCAAATTTCGGAACTACATTTTCAAGAATGAAATACATTAACAACAATTTGAGAACAAACTTGGACCTTGAGTGTGTTGTCGGTCTCCGACATTGTTCCTTTCAGAAATGTGTATATATTTCTATTTCAATTATACTTCGTTGGGGGGGGGGGGGGGGGGGAGAATCTCTGGCCCCCGAACTGATATTTTAAAGTTAATGCGGCCCTCGGGCTGAAAAGTTTGGAGACCCCTGAACTAGTGGATCTAGCATTTTGAAAACAAGTTACTTATCTATCTTAGGTCGTCCATGCTAAATTTGTGTAGTGTGTAGCAATATTTCTTTGAGTACTTCGCCACCCCCACATGAAATAGAAAAGGGGTGGGGGTGGGGCAGAAAACTTTAGAATAAGGCTACATTTTCAAACATAATTTATGCAGTTATTTTATTTAAATTATTTTTAAAAAAAGTTAAATAGGGTGGAGGGGAGGCTGTGTTGTGACGTCATTTTGGAAACTGGCTTTTTCTGACAAAGACGAGATTGCAAAAATCTTCAAAAAGGGGTCGTCCAAAAATGACGTCACACTCGTAGGGGGTCGGAGGGGGGTCGGTAATTTTGTGACGTGTGATTATAAGGGAGAGGGGGGTTCAGATGATGCGACGTCACACTTTTGCTTAATAGAAAAGAAATGTTAGAAAACGAATTTTAGACGTTATTTTGCGTTTTAGAAAACAGTTTTAATAAATTGTAATAGGAATTTATTAAAATACTCTATTTTGACAGATTTCAGACAAGATTTTGGAAAAATATCGATGTTTAAAAAAATTCAACTGCAATTTTGAGGGGGTTGTAAGCTGAGGTGTGACGTCATTTTAGGGGGGGTCTGGCTTTTTGTGACGACGTGTGACGGAGGGGAGGGGGAGGTAAAAATCGTCAAAAAAGCGTGACGTCATTTATGGATGACCCCAAAAGTATCATTCACAAAATAGCTCCTTTATTCTTGAGCTGCTATTGGCATACTATATTTTATTAACACCAAGGGTGGTTCATAACTAATGTCACTCTCCCACTGAAGATAGTCCTGTGATTATGTGTGACGTGAGGAAGAAGTGTGTGTGGGGGGGGGAGGGGAAGTAATGCAAATAGACGTCACTGAATTCCATTCTAAAAAATTTTGTTTTAAGCAAATTTTAGCAGAATTTTGCAGTTATTTTGTATTTTACAGGTTTTTTTTTGTTGTTGTAAATTTATAAATTGTCTAACTCATCAAATATAGAGTCTATATGTCCTCACCCGAATGTAAATCTTTGATTCTTCGGTTAACTATGCAATTATCTTTAACATTATTTATTAATTCATCTGGGGAAAAGCCCCTTTGGTTTCTTTTTAAAATATTTAATGGACAGAGAATAACGTATCAGTTATTGGTACTGCTGAACAAAGCTTGTCTTCCTCTGTAAATTTTAATTTTTTTTTCAGTTGATATCACCAGTACCCTGCTTTAAATTATTGGTAATAGCTTCAAACTGTGCACTACTAGTGTTAGAAGTAACGAGGTGTTGTTCTGTAGCTGTGGATACAGCATTTATGTATTGCTCTATAACTAAAGCATTGTTAGCAAGTTTACGCCACGTTGTCATCCCGCTCCTCACCCTTTTGTCGAGAGTTGTCAATTGGTACTTCAAAGTCTATTAACTTTAATAACTAATTAATAATTAACTGAACTGGAAGCATTTTTACTTATATAAATAGTGCAATTTTTCGCTTTGATATAGCCCTGAGTGATGTCATTTAGTGCGCCCCACCCTCTCTTGTGACGCTACTGGATGAAAATGAAATGCACACATTTATATTATTAAATGTTTGATAACATGCCGTAACACCGCAATGTCTATAAATGGCAACAGGTTTTTTTTTGTACAGATTGGGCCTAGATCTAGATGAATTATTTCCCCTTGGTTTTCTCGTAACTATGGCTGCCTGACCATGAAATAAAATTAATTATTTTACATATTAAATTCTATTCTGTCTCCCGGGACTCTTATTATTTCCACACAATGTGGCGTTTGTTGAGTGCTAGGAATAAATGTCCTTTATAATGACCCAAACGAGAAGAATTATGGCAACTGCAGCATCTGCCAGTGTAAACTTGAGAGGTAGGCAAAAAAAAAAAAAAAAACAACTAAAAAACTGACATTAAAAAACATGGTTGAGTGAACTTTGGTCTTTGAATCTGATTGAACATAACATTTTTTAAAATTAGTCATATAGTATATAGATCTAGATCTAATTAAAATATTTAAAAAATAATTTTAATGACATCAATCATTTGCCAAAAAACGACTTATAAACTTAATTTTATTTTCATATTAAATTAAATTTCCCAACACTCCCTACTCACTAGTCCTACCTACACACTACTTTTAAGTCAAGTCTAAGTTTCTAGATCTAGATGATAGATCTAATCTAAGTGACTCGAAAATAATTTAAAATGTATGCACTAAAATAAAATATTATTGATGGTAATCAAATCATGATCTATTCTAGATTTAGATCTAGATTTTCTAAATAATTATATTCAATCATCATAATCATGAATGCAATATTACTTATCTTTAGTCTTTACAATTGCTTCTTATAGTTACTACTATCATTATCATGGATATGTCTTTTCTAATTTTGTCACAGTATGTTTACTCATCAATATACACTTCAGATAATTCAATTTCACTTGATAGCAATATGTTAAATGATGGAAATTAAAAACATAAAATAATTATTTTACTTAACTTTAGGTCAGATTAGATCAGGTGGAAATAGTGACAAGTCGCCATCATTGAGTCCCAGTCCGCCACGGCTAAGGAGATATGGAACTAACAACAAAAGTGGGAATCAGTCAGACTCAGACTCTGGTATCACAACTGGAGTACGTGACTTGAGCTTACGACAGGTACCAAAGTCCCCTACAAATGGCGCTAAGCTGTTTGAAAACAGGTAAGCAATCACATCCTTTTAAAGATATGTTCTGTTTTTTGTTATTGATAAGTGCCAAACAGTATCACATTTGGTTTTGTCATTTAGACTCCTATTCAGGGACATATATGTAGTTTAATCTATTCTTAACTCATTACAGGCGAACTTTTGGTACCAATGGAGTTCACATCATACTGAGGAATTTAAATGATGTGGCCAATATGTTAAAAGAAGAACAAGCCAAAAATGTTGTTATTGTTGCAGGAGCTGGAATATCAACACCTAGTGGCATTCCAGATTTCAGGTATTTCATAGTAGTACAAAATTAAGGTGTTGATTATAGTAAAGACATTTCTAGCTTACAATCAGATTTTAGAAATAAGTACCTTCTTTTCAATACAGTGTGCCCTTTTATTTACTCATTTTGAACTGATTTTTGCTATTTATCGTTGTAATAATTGAATAATTTTTTAAAAGTTCATAACTTGTTTATATTTCCTGCAGAACTCCAGGCACAGGTTTATATGACAACCTTCAACAGTACAATATTCCTTATCCAGAAGCCATTTTCGACATAGATTTCTTTCACCATAATCCACGCCCATTCTTCGCATTGGCTAAAGAATTGTATCCGTCCGGAAAGTACAGACCCAATTATATACATTACTTTGCCCGGTTGCTAAATGATCGAGGAATGCTTTTAAGAATGTATACACAGAATATCGATGGCTTGGAAAGATGTAAATATTATTTAAATTTTTATGATAATGAGAATAAAGCACAAAATAGTTTCAATTATGTTTAGCTCTCTGTGTTAAGTACTCCTGTTTATTCTTAGTTATGTATTTTATTTTCAAAAGAACCATATGTTTTCATAAAAGCTAGGAAAACATCTGAGATTTTTGTTCTCTTATTTTTTCATTTTTTGTTTGCAGTGGCTGGTGTTCCACCTGATAAACTGGTGGAAGCACATGGGACATTTTCTACTGCTTCTTGTGTTGCGTGTCATGAAAAATATAGAGGTTCAGAAATAAAGGTAGTTTTACGTTGATGTTAATCTTTCATTAAATTGTAAGTGATAGAACTTTATTTGTTTGAATAATATTTTAGACTTTTTAAATTTTAAACTTGAAAATTTAAATTTTACCCTGTACTGAGTAACTTTTAGCAATTCTAGGTTGAAAATAATCCAAAGTAATAGAATTTTTTTTTGGATTGATTAAAAAATTTTACATTTTAGGACAGTATATTTGAAGATAAATTACCCAAGTGTAAGAAAAGGGGATGTTTTGTAAGTATTCTCTTACAATGTTTCTTTTAACTAGAATTTAGCCTGTTTTATTAGGCATATTTCTATTGGCATTATTTTTTTTCCACAGGGTATAATAAAACCAGATATAGTTTTCTTTGGGGAGGAGCTCCCCAAGAGGTTCTACTTCTATTTGAAAGACATGTTACAGGCTGATATGGTGTTAATTTTGGGAACTTCACTAGAAGTAAGTGTACATTTTTAAAATAACAATTTAAAATCCCAAATAAAACCTTTATAATGGCAAGCTTTTAAATGTCCTTAAAATAAGAAAACTGGTTTAATGTTTAAAAAGCTGGTTGTTCTAGAAATCTCTTTTTTTAGCAACCACTGCTTTTATTACTATATCAAAACTGAATTTGACCACACACCCACCTACCCACAGACATTCTAACCTAAGTAAATGTTTGCTAAAAACTGTGTTAAGTGTAATTTAATTATTTATAAGACGAGAAAAATGGCCCGTTGAGGAAGGATACACCGGGCGCTAGCTTGATAGTGCTGTCTCTTTTCTCTAAACTAAAACCAACCCACCCCCCCCCCCACACACACCACCCCCACCCCACCCCACACACCACCCCCCACCCCCACCCCCCACCCCCCACACACACCACCCCCTCCACACACCGCCCCCCCCCCCCCACACACCACCCCCCCACCCCTCCACCCCCCCCCCCCAAAAAAAAAACATGCCTACCGTCCCATTCAACGAAATATAATTATATACTTTTTCCAGTGTCCGCCCCTTCCCCGAAAATTCTACCCCCGCCCCCGAAAATTTCAAGTACCCCCACCCCTCTCTGGGGAGGAAAAAGTCTAAACTAAAACCACCCCACCCCCCACACACACCACCCCCCACCCCCCACACACACCACCCCCCCCCACCCCCCCCCCCACCCCCCCCCCCACCCCCCCCCCCAAAAAAAAACATGTCTACCGTCCCATTCAACGAAATATAATTATATACTTTTTCCAGTGTCCGCCCCCTCCCCGAGGGGGGGGGGGGGCTCAGACGTTCTTACGCGGGGGGTGGGGCTTCGCCCCTACCCGAAGAATTGTATGCAAGAAACTCTTCACGCAAACCATTAAGATTAGACAACATTTCCTTTTTATTCAATGTTAACGCGAAAATCAATGACGTCATATAACTTTGAGCACTCTCTGGGTTTGAGATTATTTTCTACTCTGTGCGCTAAATGTGTCGACGTCATATTTCGTTTTTCGAATTACTGTGCATGTTTTTAAATTGCTTGTGTTTTCTCTAGAGCGTTCTTGTCAGACAGAGCGTTCTTGTCAGATACACAGACAGCGAAACTATTATTATAGAGATTTTAAACAAAAACGAATGTTCTTATCATTTTGTTAGTCACTCTTCTAACCTAAGTGACATTTAATCCACAGGTTCAACCATTTGCTGGCATTATTGATACTGTTAGGTGGACAGTCCCCCGTGTTCTTTTCAACAGAACAGCTGTAGGTCCATTCAAACAAGGCAAAAGGGCCAAAGATTTTGTTGCTGAAGGTAAAATGTTATGAATGCACATTCTCTGTTTATACTAATTTACTTCTGCAAGTTTACCTGTTTGAGGTAGAATTTGTTTTTAAGAAGACAATGATTAATTACAGTTGATTGATTGATTCTGCTAACATTTCTATGTATGAAATATTCATAGTATTTCTATTTCACTCAATCATTTAATGCATTTTGTTGTTATCCTACACAATATGCCAGGTTAAAAAGGGATATACAAAGATCAGATTGTATTTAAAATGATCATTCTGTGTTTGATAGGTGATCTCCTTGAAAGCCTTCAGACATTTGTACATACAGCTGGTATGAAAGAAGACATGATAGATTTGATAACCCAGTCTGAAGGAACATTTAGATTGGTAATTTAACATAGCCTTTCTGAAAATTTAAACTAATCATATTATAAATTTTATGAGATTTGGATTTTTATAAAATAATTTTTTTTAAATATCATCTTCTCAAAGATTTTTTACTTTCAAAGATGTTTATTTAATTACGTATGACTACTTGTTATTTATTATTAGATAGCTTTCAATAACTTTTGAAAACAAATAATGTTTGTAATTACATACTACTTATTATAAGTTAACTTTTAATAACTATTAAGACAAATTATGTTTATTTTAAGAACCGAATTAATTATTTTCTTGTTGGTCATTGCAATACAGGCAGCTCCACCACCTCCAGATTTGCAGCAACCAAAGGCCGCTAAAGCCGCAGCCAGTTCCAACCAGTCAAATTCTGCTCTTGCTGCCATGTGGAGACAGAATGCCAGTGCTGATCTGTATTCTGACTCTGATTCTAGTGTGTCTTCAGATGGGGCTGACTCTGATTCTGACTCCTCTTCCAGCTCGGAGAAACAAGCAAGTAATACTTTAAAAGTTCCAGTCAGTAATGGTAAAATAACTGGAAAACCAGGGGACAAACCACCAGTTGGTGCTGTAGGTGGAGTAGGTGTTCAAAATGGAGCTGGCAACCCCCGTCCTCCGAATGGGAAACCACCATCTGGCAGTAACAGAAATAACTGCAATGGGTTCAGCCAAACAAGGAGCTTTTCTTCTCTTTTATCTAGAAGAAAAGAAAATGGAAAACTGACACCTATTTTATCTCGGAGACAGGAGAATTCCCCTTCTTACTCTGAACCTGAGAGCAGTAGTAAAAAGGTAGAAAATGCTTCTACCTCAAAACTCTTGAGAAAGAAACCACAGATTGAAGCAACGTTACCCATTCAGAGGAAACCCCAGCAATCTCCTGGTTCCCATCCAGTAAAACCTAGATCAAACTCTGTAAATCAAGCCACTCCAGAAAAAGTACACTCCAGCAAAACAGGCGGTTTTCGAGCTGTAATTGATCGTGTACGCTCCGCCAAGCCTCCACGTATGGTTTATCAGCATAGGACTCCTCCCAAACCTTCCTATGATGCTAGGATTCTGTCATACAATGCTTGTATTTCAAGTAGCTCAGATGATGATGATGAAGATGATAGAGATGACCTTGATGATGACTCATCTTCAGATGACTCTCGTTAAATTTTTTAGTGCATTTTATTGTCGAGCGCCAAAAAAGTTTTGTTCAGAAGTTTAATATTGATGTCTCACATTTTTTTGTTATGCAACTACTAGAATCTACAAGTTAATAGTTAAATTAAATACATTTTAATTATTCTTGTTACTTGAAATGGTTTAGCAAGAATCTAATTTTGTAGATTTTAAACTTTTAAGTTGCTATTGTATGAATTAAATTCATAAATTCGGAATGAAAGCTGTCAGGCAATTTATTATTACTTTTTTATTTATTTTAAATGTATATTTTTTTAAAGTGACGAATAAAAAAATTAAATGTGAATTAATAAGGCTTACAAATTACTAATAGTAAACCTACAATAATAGAATCATTGTTATAATCTGTTTTCTTTTAGTCATGATCTTCCTGAAATTGTGATGGCTTCTCTGCTTCAACTTCACCATGTGCAATTCTTTTTTACTTAATAATTAGCTCCCTTTATTTTACTTTTCATGTTTACAATTACAAATCTATTTCTAAAAAGTTGTGATTTGAGATTTAGTTGATTTTTAGCTTGGAAAAGACTCTCAGATTTTATTGATCTCTTTGTTTTAAAATGTTGCATAATTTTTAAAAAAGCTTTTATTTTGTTATCCCTACAACCCAATTAAAAGTTTTATGTGAATTCCTTTATATTTTTATGACATCTTGTAAAGATTACTATTTAGTAGTTAAAAATTACTTTTAGGGAATGATTAAAACACAATAGCTGCATTACTATAATTGTTTACCAATTGTTTTTAATTAATAAAAAAAAAAATTAAGTAATATATGAATCAGTTTTATATTTATTTTTCCAATTTGTTATATTTTAATTTTTTAAACTCATAGGTTACATTGTCAGCAGACTAGTTAATCTAGAACATTTGAGTGGTTAGCTAATATGTTCAAAACATATTCAGTATTTTTATAGCTTATTGTTTCATTGTAAAATAAATATAACATACCTAACTTGTAACTAAGTAATATCAAATTCAAATGGCAATTAAAAATTATTTTTGAAATGTTTAGTAGTCTTCAACATTATAATATATAAAATGTGATATTTTATTAATTGTATTCTAAATATTTTGATTGATTAAAATAAGTGATAGTCACTTAAGTATTAGGCATATATTTTTTAAAATGTGATACATGAGGTTTGAAATCTAATTCTTTGTGATAAGAAATTAGTAAATCAATTACTTTAATTAACTTCTACCATTGTCTAATAATTTTTTAGTTTGTTATGAAATGTTAACATAATGATATTTCTTGCCTTTATATTTTTTTTGAAAGTCTTCATTGTAAGACTTGAAAGTATTAATTTTTCACCAACCATTGTTTTTGTGGTGAATTGCTGAACTTAAATGATAAACCAAATTACTTTGTGATTGTTTTATGTATAGTTATTTATATAATTGTTAGCATATTATTTTACAACTTATTAAATGTATGTTCATATTTTCCTAGTCGTATATTTTAAATTATATTTTATTTACTTAAATATAGAGAATGTATAACTGCTATGGATAAGAAAATAAATTATCCAAACTTACTGAATATGAACTGCTAAAGCAATAAGCTCACTCAATTCAGCTGTGCTCTTGTGAAAAGACACAATATCTATAAACTTAAAGTTTATTTGAAGTAACATTTTAACTCATTTTAAAATGAGTTCTCCCATGTCAATCATGGACTTGATGTCAAAACATTGCCATCATTGTTTTTGTTTAACTTTTTTATTTATGCCTTTCTACTTGAACTCTTCAGTTACATTATACATGCTTTTAAATGTCATGAGTGTTTGCTCTTTATTTCAAAATAAGAACTTTGATGATTCTCATTCCAGCAAATATTTAAAGTATGTGCATGTTTGTCTCTCTATAGTGTATTATTATTAGATCTTCAGAAACACACATCAGTTATTTTACTAAAACCTTTACAAGTAACATTACATATTTTTACTCCCTTACAATATACATTTTAAAGTGAATAATATTGAGGAAGACATAAGTTTTTTGTTTAATTCTGTTTTCCCTGCTAAGCAAATTATTATTTTGTATTTATTATTTTTTTTATTATACTCAACATCTTAAAAACTGCAGAACTTATTTTTAAAAGTGTTACAACTAAGTTTTTGAAAAACATTTTTATAATACTGTCTCATAGTTTTATTTAATCCAGTGTATTATTTTCCAACACAGTAATATTGAGAAAATGGAGCATGTATTTATGTAGTCACAGATATTGTAACTGTTAAAAATTGTAAGTTTGTTGCTTCTCGTTTTCTCAAAAAAAAAAGTAATAATTGTTATAACTTGAAAGATGTCACTATTACCAATGAAAATATGTACATACAATTTAATGTGGATTAAATTACAAGTATCATTCTATACAAATGTAGTTGTTTGTTTGATTTTATTCTGGATAAACACATCTTAAATTTTTTGGGAGGCCAACAGGAAATTAGGCAGACAGGAGAAAAGCAAACATCTAAAAGGCCAAGATCTTAATCAATCATGTCATGTTAAAAAAGGGTACAGTACTTTCAATTTTCGTACACCGCATTGTATCCCCAAGGCCAAGGATTAGAAATGTTAAATATTTAAATTTAGTACAGTTTGACAGTGTGGTGAAACATTGTATAAATGTCCCTCCACACCCTAAAATACAATATAGCTTAGTTTTTATATTTAGTTTACCACAACAATTCAGATACAACTACTATTATTAAATTTACAAATATTTTCACAAGTTGGATAACTTTACTTATTCTTTTGGAAGCCCTGATGAGCAAAAAGGAATGCATGCATACTTCTCCACCAGGGCAGGTCTCTTCATTTGTGCCCACAATTTTTTTTTAAATAAAAAACTTAATTTGTGCAGACTTGCATCACAATTACACAAATGTAGTCTAAAAGTAGTATAAAGTAATCTACATTTCCTTGAGGAATATGGTGGCACGGCCACCTTCCTTTTATCATTTGTTTAAGACGTTCCCAACATCTCCAGTAGAATGTACCTGATTGTTCACCTTCTAAGGATAGCTACTAGTATTTTCTTGGTGTTTCACCTGATTGCATGTCGGTGACATTGCTGGTGGCTATTGACTTCTTTAATGGTTGTTTCAAATTGTTGACATTGAGGGGGCTATGCCAGTCAGTAGTCACCTGTATTTCGCAATATATATAGAAGTTGATCTTTTGTGTGTAAGACAATTCTGCCATTTCAAGTTGCTTGGACCCAATTGGTTACCTTAGAGATAGCAACTAGCATTGTCTTTTCTCTTAGACATTCCGCCCTTTTATGGTTGACCTTTAGTCCCACACCCAATGTTTTCTTTCTATAGATAATTTTGTAAATGCAGTTAGTAGTCTAAATCAATTTTCAAGTCTGTAATACAATTCAACTTAAACTCATTGAATACCGAAAAATATAAAATAATTTAACAAATGTTTGAAAAAGTACAATTCAAAAACAGTAAGAGGACAAAATGGTATGTATATATTACTTTGTTCTTTATTTAAAATTGGCATTAAAATTTAAAACTCTACATTTACACACAAAAAATATGGTTATTTGATCCATCAACAAGAAAGACAATGGCTTATTACAGTAATAACACTGGCACAACATAAAAGTATGAATATTAAAAATAACAATTAAAATTAATCACAGTTTGCTTTTTGTTGGGCTACTTCTTTCACCTGCAAAGAAATGACACTAGTGTAAATATTAACCCTTTGACAAAACTTTAAACCTGTTATAATAAAAAAAATTATACTAAATTTACTCTTTTAAACGTATAACTTAGTTTGCATGACACTTTAAAAAAATATGCTCAGACAAATTGATTGAGTCTAGGGAAAAAGGTTAATTAACTAGGAAAAAAATTGAGCAAAATATCAGGTAATAAATAAAATTATATATCTACCTAAAACATTGCTATCCAGTGCCCAAAGTCTTTTTGTAGTCAGGTCTTCAACATTATAAGCAGCAAAGGCGGATGCATCTGATAAGAATACATTATTTCAAGTGATGTACGAGTACTAATATTTCATTTTAAAAAATAGCTAGACCTTTTTTTTACAACTTTTTATGCTAAGAAGTTAAAGTAAATAAAAATTCCTTTAATTTATAAAATGGTGAATTACCTCCAGAATCCAAATATCTTTGTAAGGGAGATAACAAGCTTATGGCTGGTACACAAAGGTTGAGATGAGGATAACAAGCATTACTTCCTTTATCCCTGTAAAAATAAAACCAAACTTCTGAATATTCATATGTTAACAAGCACTATTTAGTTGTTTCCTATAAAAAAATCTACCCTCAAACTTCATACAAAAAAAAACCCCACAAAAGTAAATTAATCTTTCACAAGTGAAATCCTACTTATTCACACATAAAAACTAAACAGGCACTATAATAAAATGATTAAATGCATCACTTCTCTGTGATATATATATATATTATATATAAATATATGTGTTATATATGTGTTATATATTCTGTGCCCACATAAACTTAACTGGAAGAAATACATTAGGTTTCCACATTACATTTCAATTACTTAAATCTTTTATTTGACTTGCCCACTTGCAAAACCACTACACATTAATTACTCATAAATTTTGTTTTAAATTTTTTCTAGTTAACTAATCTTAGAACATTGCATTTTTAACTGTTAAAAGATTAATTTTAAAATTATATTTTCCAGATCACATATGTGTATGATACAATAATAAAGAACTAGGTGTAAACTTACACAGTATTACACACAATAATGCCTATCAAGTCTCCCTGAGCATTGAGCAATGGGCCTCCACTAGATCCAGCATGTACAGCACATGTTGACTAAACAGATTTTAAAAATGTTCAATTACAATAATCAAAATATTATAAACTGCTGACTTTACAAATGATTCAGATAAGTAAATGTTTTAAATTTAATGTAAATGAAAATGGAATTAAATTATAAACTCTTAAAGCTATGTGTGTTATCAGAATTTTTTCAAAATGTATTTAGGTTGTCCATGGCAGTATAATAAGTACCAGCTTTGTAAGTAACACCAATGTAATTTTTTACAATGTTAAAATATATTGCAAAATTTTTGTATTATATATATTTTTAAAAAAATTATGCCAACCTGAACAATCGCAAGTTGTTCATGTGAATGTATTAATTTTGATACTACTCCTACAGTTATTGATGGGTGCATATTTAGGTCATAGCTGAAAAGAGCATGACCTATCACCAACACTTTCTCACCTAAAAGAAATTAATGACATATATTCCATTCAGGTGTATTAACAGCTTGACAAAGTACAAAACACTGCAGCGTGGTATAAGAGAGGACAAATCCAAGTGGAGAAAGAAATTCTTAAATGAATGTGGAGATGCTAGGCCACATGTTGAGGAAACTAGCAATAAGTATTACCAGACAAGGCATGTCATTGTATAAACAAATATTAGAAAAAGAGGGAGACCCAAAAAAAAATCAGGACTTAGAGAAATTGAAAAAGGCATTACAATTTTTGGAAAAAGTTGGGAAGAAACAGAAAAAATAGCAAAGGACCAAAAAGAAAGGTAAAAAAATGTATCTACCAACAGGTAAATGAATGAAAAGTTCTAAGGGTTTTAGGTTTGTAGTCCATCTTTTTTAAATACACAAGGCTATAATTATTGTAAATAATATAAAAGGTTATGATTTATGATTAAATAATGTAATTGTGAAATATCGATATTTTAAAAAAAGTACATACCTATTTGAGGAGTATTTATTTTAGGGATATGCTTTGAACATAAATGAGCAGTAGCTTCAGGGCATGTCAATACAGCTATGTCTAAAGGGCCATAAGGAGCATTTCTATTGCTGTAGACCACATGAGCAGAATATTCTTGAGATCCTTGGTATGGTTTGATCATTGCTTAAAAGAAATATTTTAATAAACACATTCAAGCCTATATTAAAGATGAAAACACTAACTTAATAAGCCATGCAGGAAAACTTTTTTACAATCTAATAATCATTATCCACCACCTGGAATTTTTAAAAAACAATACTTCTCATGAAATATACTACAAGCATGGCACTTTAAAGTTGCAAAAAGAAAGATGAACTTTGTAAACTTGATAACCTGTATTGTGACAATGTTTGTTTGATGAGCTTTTATTTAGATTTATTCAATATTTTAAAGTAATCCCAGCTAAAAAAAATTAAAGGTCATTGGGGTCATCCATAAACAATATCAGGTCACCATGAGTAATTCCCCCTCATAAATGATCTCACACATCAACCTACCAATCCAGCAGGGCAACCTCACAACAGCAAAGTCATTATAAAATATTATTAACTGAGCTCTGTCAACATTGAGTAGGTCTATATGGGAGCAGTTTTATTAGAATTTACAGGAAAAAAAAAAGAAATAAAATTACAAAATTAGAGTTAAAATAAGTTTGGGCATTATTTTTTTAAATACACAAGTGTGTTGTCACACTTACTGACGCCCTTCTTCCCCTTGTCACACATCACAAAAGTCAGAATTTGGCCCCCCAGGAGTGTAATATCATTAATTTTTGACCCTTTAATTATTCAACATATAACAAATTCCTGTCTTAAGCAACTAATACAAGTAAAATAAAGTATTTAGAACTTACTTTAAAAAAAAAACACTACATTTTTACCTGTAAAGTGTTGTGTATCCTTAACAACATGACTACATGTTAAAATGATTCCCTTCTGGCAGTTTACAATGACACCAGATCCCCATGTATTACCAACACGTATCAATACAGTAGAGGACAAAAATTCTTCATTTTTTTCTGTGTAAGAGAGCAAGTTTTCAATTAACACATTTTTAAAGACGTGTAAAATAAAATAAAAGATCAAAAAGAGGAAATTTAACAAAAGGATATCCTAAAAAAATTATAATACATTTTTAATACTGAAAAATTGTTAGGATACAATGTAATAAAAGCCACAGCCAATTCAGTTCATTTATTTATAGGAAGTACTAAGTACCTATAGTTTTAGATGAATTTATCTCTTGATTTGTAAGATAATGAAAGGGCTTCAAATTTGCACCAAGTAAGCTTGTTATGTTGTCACACCTTATCTTCTTGAATGTTTTAAACATGGATTCAATAACACTTCTGATGCTGCATGCCATTGAAAAGCCGACCCATTCCTTGTTTTTCCAACACAGTGATGCAACAATTATTCCAGCCAGAAATCTTAGATCAATTATAAAAGGCAATGAAATAAATTAAACTTCAATAAGTTAATATTATTAATTCATGCAAACAATAAAAACATGTTATTTATTTGACGAAGAAGACCTAAATTAGTTATTATGCAGCATAAAAATATAATAAATTAGCCTGACCTCTGTTGACCTCCTTTGCCAGTAAAAAGAGCACCTCCTTCTGAGCCAGGAATACAGCGAGCATCTGTAACTATCCAACAACCTTCATTACCACTGACATTACATACAACACCAACACTATAGGTGTTAAAAAATACAGATGGATTCTGGCTTCCAAAGGGTGTTGACACTATTTCAGCTGCTTCACCAATCCTGCACTGCTGTCTTAGAATCAAGGGTAAACTATAATCCTTTCTTAATTTTGTTCTTGACAATGTAAGTGTAAGGGGGCATGTTTTTAGAATTACAAAATAACTCAGCAAGTTGAAAGATAGTTTTTCACACATATCCTGTTTTGAATTATCTTGGTCTGTTACATCTGTTATATTCTGGCTGGTCTCAAATGACCAGGTGCTCTCTGGCATAAATTTGCTGACAGCTCTGCTGAAATCCTCATTTTTAAATGCACAAATAAATCTGCAAGCTAATGTACGATATTCTGGACAGTGATCAGTAGATAAATTGGTATTATCTGAATCATGCTGTTCTTCTCTAGATCTAGTGTTTAACTCACATGGTGACCACCTCCTGTCGATCATGGTACTAAACACTGCATCTCCAAGATCGGATTCCTCTATTGGTGAGCCATTATTTATTTTGTTATTTAGTTTTTTATCAGCAATACAATAGTCAGCTAAAATTGAGCCATGAGAAAGAACAACTCCTTGTTCAGGTTGGTAGAGAATACCACATTGTGATGGTGCATCCTTGAGGTTGTTAGACTTTACATTTGAAGTTGAAGTGACAACACATCCAAAAAGTTGAAGAATTTCAGCAAAATTTACATTTTCCATAATGAACAATGAGTTTCACCAAACTGAATAGATTCTAGACTAGAGTTTAAAAAACACTTTCGTTTTTTAAAAATATCTAGACCAATTTTATTATAATAATAGAAGTAAAAATTTACAGAGAAGATTGATTATAAATTTTAACCATAATAGTTTTTCTTATAAAAATATAACACAAAAAAATAACACTGCTCTCATAATCAATAATCTATCATATATATACTTATATAGCCTATACTACTGCCCTATAGCCCTAGAGTAGATACTAGATACACTAGATAGGCTATAAACTATAAGTATAGAGTATAGACTATAATAGGATAAATGTTATTTGTAAGATATTTTAGGCCCTAATTAGTCTTTTCTACTCATTGATTTAGTCCGTTCTAGTCATCTTAACTTATAGATTTCTATTTCTACTTTTAAAAATACTTTTACTTTAAATTTAATAAATTAATTAAAAAATGTTTTTTGTTAGGGCCTATTGTTTTTTGTTGTTGTTATTGTTGAATGTTGCGATATCACTTCCGTGCGGTTAACGTCACCGTATCTGGTGTACTTTTATTATAAATAATTCTATAAATTAAATAATAAATATGACCGATGTTTGAAACTCTTTCAGTAATCGTTCTTCTGTACTGACGATTCAAGACTGTTCTGTGTGTCACAGACAATCGTTGCATGCTTGCAAGATGTAAAACAGTAGGTGTGTCTTGGCCTCTCTTCCTGCGACAACACAGCCTATTTTTAGCCATCAGTCCGTCATTCGCCTACCGCGACGCCGTCACGCGTTGTGACGTCATGGCTTTTTGGGTACACTACACACAAACACGAGCAATTTCAAACTCTATTGTATTGACATATTTGTAAAAAGTTTTGATTTAATATGATCGGTTACATAACAAACCATCAATAGTCCAATTGTGACTTCAATCCGATCGGTAGATCCTGAAAGTTTGGACAAAATGTTAAGTGGGTCAAAGGTCATCATTTGACATTGGCCGTGATATGCATTATGAAAACCCCACAGTACCTTGGAACGTTACATGACGGTGAGTGTTTTGTGAATATTATTTCGCTGATAAATTTTCTAGTCCCTGGACGGGTCGTGGTCAAATCTATGTTTAGGAACACTTAAATTTACATTTTCCCCTATTCTAACCCTCATTATCGCCACGTATGATTTGTGGAATGTTTTAAGCGGAATCCAAATTTCAAATCGCTACTGCGCATAAGATTATATTGAGACTCATCTTAACATGGGAAAAAAGAAATCGCCGAGAGAGAGGCGAGGGACAATAGTGATTATAGTAGACTAAGCTTAGTACCCTAGTGACATTAACACCACATTAGAAACGCACTCGATAGTCAACAAATCAACAAAGACTTCACACATCATGCAATAGAACTTGAAATTCCTATTTTAGTAATTCAGCGAATCATTAATAGTATATTTAAGTATATTATATTCTAGATCCAATGTGAATAGATCTGTCAATCTAGAATCTAGGAAAAATACATTGGGCGCTTAGTCTCGTTTTAATTTTTTGAAAATACTCGAAAGGCGCCGAGTCGGAATTGAGATCTTGAGTCTAGATCTAGATCAAGACTAGATTTCTAGATCTAGATTAGTGACTAGTCTAAGATCTAAATCTAACCATATGATATAGATTCTACACAAGATCCAAGATAGTTGAGTCTTTGGTAGGGGTGATTACTAATTGTTTTAAGTTTCAATAATCACTTGAGTTTGTTAGCACATAGACTAGTCAAGATCTAGATTCTAGATTATGTCTGGTTAAAAACAGTGGTTTTGACAGGAGCCTAGACTAGACTAATAAAAATAAAAGAGTAGGGCCTACCCCTGTAGCCTATAGTTATAGACCTACTTTACTTTATATATACTAGAACTAGACTTTATTATAGACCTAATTATTAATTATAGGCCTAGGCCTACTAATTAATTAATTTGAATAGGCTATGAGTCTAGATAATTTCTATCTAGATCTATCTAGAATCTATTTTAGATTTAGACTAGATCTAGATAATCTAGTAGATTAGGTCATTAAAAATAAAATATTTGTTTTTAAAAACATTCTAGAATCTAGATCTAATCCAGAATAAATAAACTACTAGTAGTAGTAAAAGAAGTTACTGATCCAGATCTCTCTTATACCGCGTTTACACTTACGACATGTATACTATACATTTCTAGAACACAAAGCCCGCCAAAAGTTATTTTTATTTGGAACAATTTTCTCCACAGAACATGTATACTTTAGCGTTCACACTTACAGAACATGTTATAGAACAAGCATGACCTTTGACACAGAGCGTTTGCTATATAGTATAGTATAGGCCCAGACAATTAAAATAAAGAGTAATCAAAGTAAAAAAAAAACACGTAGGCCTAGATAGTAGGAACACAGATTTATTTTTAAAAAAAAGGAAAATGGTGTAGCCACGGTGCTTGCGATTCAACAATGAATTATCTAAAAATTAGAGAACATGCACAATTTTATAAATTTTATTGGAGTGCAAATAAATGGAGTTAGACAGTTTTTATAAATATAATGCTGAGTATAATAACACGGGTTGTAAACATTACCCACATGTTATTACCCCTCCCTCCCATCCCGCAGTACAATCACCCCTTCCCACCCCAACCTTATGGTAGCCTTTTACCAGCTTCTGTAATTGCTTGTCTATATCCTCCAGAAACAGCTTCGGATAAACAGGGCAAAATTTTTTGCTGAAATGCACGATTTCTCAAAAACTTGCATCTGCCAAATTCATTAAAGTATTGAGATCGCTTTACAACTATACTTTGTATATTTTTAAGAAAAAAGTAGACTTAGTTTTTAGAGTAGGGCCTATGTGACACTCATTCCCCCTCCCCCCTTCGTTTCTTTATGTTAATTATGTCCCATTCTAAACCTAAATAATTAGCCTATAATTTTTTTATCTGCCTGTTTTTATAGTCTGTTGATTATGTGTGATCTCACAGGCACATTCTGGTGGGCCTAAAGATTTATTCATGTCAGACGGAAACTGAAAATATGTTAATACACTTAAAACAAAATATTGGTGAAGGAAAAATTTGAGATACATTTGGTTAAATTATATTTTTTAAATAATAATTATTTTCATAATTACTACCTATACTGGTTTTAATTTAAGGCAAAATTGTAATGCCTTGGACATTACTTTTTATAATATTTAAACGTGTTTGGGATTTAATCAAAGAAATAATAAGTAATTATAAAAATTTAATTTTTAGTAGGGCCTAGAGAAGTTATAAATTATGAAATCATGGGCTCAAAAACTCAAAATATCAGAATAGCCTATTTTATTTTGTAATCAGCTGAGGCCTGGGATGCGCTTACTACTTTTCGACGCATGCGCACTCATCTGAAAATTCAGAACATGTACAATGTTTTCGCTCAGCGAGCGAAGACAAAAACTTGACCCAGAACATAAAAAGGGGCATGGTTTTGTGCCCTGTGGTGACTCAGAAGATGTTCCATATACGCGTAACATGTTTAGTATACACTTTAGTAGGTCAAGTCTAGTATACATGTCGTAAGTCTAAACGCTTTTTTAGCATTCTTATTATTTTTAGGCCTATGATAACTAGATTCTAGGTCTAGGATCTAGATATTTTTTAGTAAGATCTAGATTAGGCTATTTAAAATCTAGACTATCATTTAGAATATAGATCTAGACCTAATTATTTATTAAGGCATACTATTTAATTTAGATTATTAGCCTACTCCTAGATCTTTAATAAATAGGGGCCTATAGTTTAGTTAGATTATATTATTTAATTATAATTGGTCTAGAATATGGGCCCTCAACCTGTGATTATATTAATATTTAATTATAATGGTTCTAGATCAGGGGTCTGCAACCTGCGGCTCACATGCAGCTCTTTTTATGTCAATATGCGGCACTCCAGTTCCTTTTTATAATCATATTATATTTTCAAAACTCAAAAAATATTATACTGTAAAAATGAAAAGAACTTAAAACAAAATAAAAAAATCAATGAGAATAGGTGGTGTAGACCCAGTAGAGTGTATATGGGCAGCTTACAGCCGCTAGGTTACTGGTTAGTGCTCTGATACTAGAAAAAATAAGTTACCTGCCAACTGATAGGTTATCCTTGGTATAAAAGTTCAGGTCATCTATTAATGTTAGAGAACCACAGGTTATTAAAGGGATATCACAATTCACATCATCTATAGTTCGTATTAAAGTACATAAAGCTTGGTTCAAGTACCACTTTTTTCAAATGGGGTTTCTATTTACTGTGAAACACTGGTTAATCAAGGTGTAACACAGTTTGTCCAGGGTTAGTACAAAAAAATTGTGCTAATAAGAAAAAAGTATGAAAAAAATGTAATGTCTGGTGAAATGTTTTAAGAAAACTGCTTTGCAGTTGATTATTGTTATTTATTTTTTAATTTGTCAAGGCATCTTAATAGATTAATGATTAATGTCATGTGAGTTCTTTTAGCATTAGTTCACTTGTAATTTTGCTAAAAAAAACTTTAAAAAAATTTTGTGCATAGTTTTCTGTATTTCACAGTTTTAGTGTCTTTTTCTGCAGGGCTGGATTGAGTTCGGGTTTTTATTGCTTAAGATAAACATTTTTTTTTAGTGTTTTTTAAAGGTGGATACTGATTATAACATAATGTATTTACTGCATAGGCTAAATCATTTTGTGTTGACCCAGTGCTAGATGTTAAAGAAGCAGGATTGCTTTTCATTAGCATGCCATTCAAGTTATTGGATATATATACATACATACATAAATACATGTATATATATAGGCCTATATTTATTAATTTAACTATATGTTTGTGTCATGCAAATCAATGAAATATATAACATTTTTAGGAAGTAGATAATATTTTAAAAATTAAATTGGTGAATCCTTTTTTAAAATTACTTTTGATTCAAGTAATTTGATTTTCTTTTTACTCTTAGGATGTTCTACGGCAATGAGGAAGAAACGACCAAAAGATGGTCAACTAAGTTTAAACCTATCCTTGTTGCTACACCATTAGTGGTAATCAAAATACTTTTAAAAATTTTAAAGCCATTATTTTTTTATATGGATTGAATTTTTACTTGAACAGCTCAGAAACAAGCTTAGCTCAGTAACAATGTAACAATTTTAAAAAACAAATTGTATTAGCTCTTTTCTTCTTGTTTCAGATATAACATTTATTACAATGGATGGAGATGGAAGTGGCTTTTCATTTCCTTCAGCTGATTTTAACAAGTAATTATCATTAAAAAAAAAATATATATATATAGGCCTATTTATTTTTTATTTATACCTAATGCAGTATTTTAATTCAAACTAATAAAAGAAACATCTGGGCATTTAATCTTTAAGCAATCTCAGATATGTCTTGTACTTGCATGTCACCAGAAACTAGTTTTGATCCCAAATTAGTATCCACAATTTATATTTTTTAGGCAAACAAGTAGGCCTACTAAAGAATTATACTTTTTTTCCAGGGGACAAGATGCTAATACAGATATTGTAAGTTTTGATTCTTTCATCTGCAATATTTGCACATTTATATCCCCAGAACAGTACTTTATATATAGTTATTAAATGTTTCAAAATTAATATGTGCAGCTCGTCTATAACTAATTTTCTTATTTATTATTAGTCTTGGGGAGACATGTTTTTGGATGGAATCCATTCGTCGGATGATCCAAATACACCTGATACTGTTATTAGTGACTCTACAAACATGGGTGCTAATGTTCATGGCAATGCCCAGATGGTTCAACAACAGCACAGTGTCATTGGAGGTCAACTGCAAGTTCAGTAAGTGCTAAATTTATATTTATTTCCTTTTGATTGTATACATCTGGCTTTAATTGATTATAATGTGTGTGACATACATATAATTTTGGAAAAAAAAAATTCTCCCCAGCATACCCAGCCACTTTCAAAACACTTTAACAAGCAGTGGGGTGCAGCAGGCCAGTACAAGTCTATGTGGCACAGTGGCTTATCTTGCATCAGCGGGTTCATCCCAACATGTGAGTACTGCAGGAAGAATCCAGAATATCATGGCCGCTGCAGGCCAGCATCAGGTGACTGCATCTGTTGGACAACAGCAGCAGAACAAATTAGTGCAGATAACTCCTTCATTTCCCATGGCCTCAGTGAGTGTATACCTCAACAGTGAAGGAGTCTGATAATGTGGCATTTCAACTTAAAATGCAAAAAATTGTCCCTTCATATTATTCATCTTACATGTTAGTGTTTAAAGTGTAAAAAGACCGTGACTTTTTTACCTAAATATTATGATATCAAAACCTGTGACAGATATGGACTTTCAATATATTTATTTGCTGTGTTACTTATAATTATTGTTTTGTGCCAGGTACAGCCTATAAACAGTGTTCTTCTTCAGTCCAATCAGACCCTAGCAGGACAAACCATTTATAGTGGTCAGGGTGGCAGTTTGTTTCCTGCTCAAGGATCTGTTCATATTGAGAATCCAAAAGTTGTGAATGTAAACTTTGGCCCTCATGTTATAGGATCAGATGGTAGTGGACAGCAAGCTATTATACAGGTAGTTTAGAGTACATTATTTTATTTTTAAATTATGTTTTACTATTTGAATAATGCATGTTAAACACACATAATATAAACGGTATATGTATTGATGCAGCTATTAAACTCCTGTGTAGTTAGTTAAATTCTTATATAGTTTTAATCAAAACTGTATAGCTGCTTAATATGTAAATAACAAAACTAGTATATATTTATGATACAACTCACTTTTTAAAAAAAGTTAATCTAAAATCAAAATATACATTTATTTTTAACATTATTTTCGAGGACATTTTTAATGTATATTATAATTGTACATTAACTGGCAAGCAATCCTGCCTTTTTCACTACCTCTTAATAAACTGATTTAAAAAAAAAATCTAGGGTTTCAATTTTTAAACATTCTTTTGTCAATTAGACTGCAGAAGGGAAAAGAGTCCTGATTACTAATTCCCAGCTTCAGCATATGTCTCAGGTAATTAATAGCTAAAATCATGTAAAATATGTTGTTGATTTTTAAAAAATCTAATATAATTCTCCATTTATGTTATTTTTGGAAAATTATCTTTAAATTACTCAGTACATAAATGTGAATGAACTTATACATATTACATGCTTCTATTTGCTTATACTAATTTGAAAACGCATGCAGTATCTTACTCCTCAGTCCATCAGCTTATCTCAGCCTATTATGGGCACTCAACTTATAAATCCCAGAGGAGGGAATGTTATTCAAACTAATATGGCACCTTCTACTACAACCCGTCAAATTGTGTTACCGACTGGTCAAACTGTAATACCCAGACAAAATAATGCTCAGACAGCACTGCCTAAAAATATGGTCATACGGCAGATTAATCCTGGAATGTCACCTGTAATTGTAAGCTTAAAATTTTACTTCTTTAGTTACGAAAACATTGGCTTCTATTTTAGCATGAATCCTACTTTTGTTTAAACTTTGTTTGGTTTCTAATAACTTTATCCTTACTATAACCTTTATTCGATTTCACTTCAGTATCAGACTGGACAAAGTGGTCAACTAATTCAGCCCCAGCCTACATTAATTACATCATCCGGCACTGGGTTGCAAGTAGTTAATACTGGAGGAACCCAGGGCAGCCAAGTTCAGCTTATAGCTCAACCAAATATTAATCAGACTGGGCTAGGTCAACAACAGGTATTTAACTTTAAATTATTCATTTGTTTCTCCTTTTTTTTATTCAAACTATTTTTTTGTTGTTATGGAAGTGAATATTTTAAAAAAAAAATACATCTATAGTTATCTTAATTTTTGTTGTTACAGAACACAATTATGAATTTTATCAACAACCAAAGTGTTATCCCTAATGCTGGGAACCAAATTACAGGACTAGTACCTGGTCAAAATATTTTTGTGAATGGACAGATGTTGAATCTTAGTCAGCTGAGTGGTCTTACCATGTCCCAATTACAAGTGCAACCTAATACTCAAGTCACCTTAGCAAATATTAACACAGGAGTTGCAAGGCCAACTTTTCAGCCTACAACTCAGCATTTGGTCATACAACACAATGGTCAGCAACAGCAAATACTGATTCAACCAAAAAATGCTGCTTCCCCTTCACTTTTATCAAATGCCAGCTCATCACAGAGAACAAATTCCAATCTTCAAGGAAATAAACTTGCCAGAACACCTACTCCAAATGCTAGTTCTGCCTCATCGACACCTGTGGCTACCCCTACTCCGTCCACACCTACCTCCACATCAACTCCAGATCTCATGTCAGATTATAATGGGCAGGGTAGTAAAACTGGTTGTATCAACATATTAGAGCAAGCTCTAGAAATGTCAGATATTAATCTACACTCTTTTGAAGATGAAGATTTTATGTATCTAGAAAATCAGTCATCTATAACCCCACCACCATCAACACCAGTTCAGCCTGCTAAACTTAAACCACAGCCCACCAGCAAAGCAAAATCAAAAACTTCAAAGCCTAAGTCAAAAACTCCTCCATGTATGGTAAATGTTACAGTGAGTAACAACACCATCTCATTTCAGCAACCCAAAGCACAGCTTCAAAGTTCTCAAGGTCAAAAGGTTACCCTTAGTCCCAAACAAAAAGTGATAACAGCTGATGGCCAAGTTTATGTACTTTCAGCTAATGGGCAGCAGTTAATTCTTCAACCATCCCCTAACTCTGCTAATTCAATAGCACCACATCTGAAGCCTATAGTTTCTCAGGCATCAACTTTCACTAGTCCAGCTAGCATCACTATTCCCTCCAATAGCCAACAGCAATTACAAGGACAGACTCAACAAGTGTTTAGTCAAACTAACATTAACATTGGTCAGTTAAAAGTGAATACTTCAACTATACCAGTACAACAGAATACGTTTCTTGCCACCAATGCTCAAGATAGCAAAGTTTTTATTAAAACTAATATAGAGGAAGGTAGTTCCATGAAAATACAGTCCTCGCCTGCTGGTACGCAGATTGTCTCTGTTACACCTAATACTGCTACACACAATTCACAGTCATCTTTATCTCCAAACTTAAATTTTAATCAGGGTCAAACTTTACAGTTTAAAAATCAGAAAATTTCAACGTTAGGTGGAACTATCATTAAACAGGAACCAATATCAACACTGGTGAAACAGGAACCAGTTACTGACTTTCCAGTTTCACAAGCACAGGTGGCATCATCTGTTTCTCCTCTTGTGTCTGTTGCTGTAACTACCTCAAACATAATGGCCATGACAATGTCTCCAGTTGACTCTTCTGCTTCATCTACTGCAACCAGCTCCACATTGACTACTCAGTCTCATAAATTAACTATAATGGCTACAGCCCAGATGACAGGATCCATGCCAACTTCAGTTTCATCTACATCATCAAATGTTGCTTATATATCCACATCAAGCGATACTGCCTCAATCTTTAACCAAGCCTTGCCCAGCCCTAACAGCTCTCTTGCTGCACATGCTGGATCAAAACTTGGCTCGGTGAGTTTGCTTTTTAAAATTTATAGTGTCCATTTTCTGTTTTCATAGTGTGACCCACCTTTCATTTGGGGTGACTATTTAAATTTTTCTTTTCCCATAGACTTCAAAAGAAAAAGATCCAAATAATGTTAAAGTTATGACCCCTATTAAGGTAGGAAGTGATATGTTTTTACATAACCACTGTTACCCTACTTATTTAATTACATACTACAAAGTAAAATCGCGTAAAATATTCAAGTTTTTATTTAGTTGATATATAAATACTACTGTGTAACATAGATTTTACTTGTAACAAATTTGTTTTTATTTCAGATTGCTGATTCTACCTTGATGCTAAGCCTTACACCTGTTCAAAAGAAAAGACTAGAAGATCATTTATCCTGCATGAGCATGAAGGATCAAAATGAATTTCTGTTACATCAACAGAGCATTATTCGCCGTTCCCAGCAAGTGCAACAGAAGCAATTAGAACAGCAACAAAAATATCAAAAGCTTCAACATATCCAACAACATCAACAAATGCAGCAACAGCAGCCGATTCTACAACTTCAAGTGCAACAACAGCAAGTTCATCAACAACAACAACAAACACCTCAACCATTACAGTTACAAAGCCACACAAATTTGATCCTGAAAACAAATACAGCTAATGCTATGGAAATATCACCAAATATAGGTTCTGGTGTATCAGCTCTCCCAACAACAGTACAGGTCAGAAGAGAAAAATATTTAACTAAATTTTTAATAATATTCCTAAGATAATGCATAAGTATAAATGTTTCACTATTCTCAGCTTGATTCATTTTTAAAATTGATTGATCGTTTGGTATAAGATTAATTTGTTTATATTCATGTCTATAATTAATATAAACAATTTTTTTTCAGGAGTTGATGGATAAACCAGAAGAGGTTCAGCCTCAGCAAACATATCAAGATCAGCAGGTGATTTATAGACAACAAGCACAAGTTCCTCAGCAGCAGCCTCAAGTTACAATGCAGCAACATATTCAATATAGAAGTGTTCCTGAAAACTCAACTCAGTTACCAGCTCAACATTTCACATATCAACAGATGGGTAGATGCTTGTGAGTGTTTTGTTAATCTGTCTTCTTTTTTTATTATACAGATTTAATGTCTGCAGTTACATACATTCTTGACCACATAGTTCTACCATTTTTACAATTCTTTGGCAACCTAGTAATCTTTATCACTTGTTTTTTTCAGGGCTGAACAACAGCTTTTACGTGACAAAACTCTAGCTCAAAGCCCTGATGTATCTTCTGCCTTCAAAAGTTTATCTGATGCTATGAGAAGATTAGTTCGCTATCATACGCTTCAGGACCATAAACCCGAAGAAGGCAGTAAAGAAATGAGGACATGTATGATCAAATCATTGTCTAACCCTTTAAAATCCTGTTTTGTTTGTTATTTGTTGGTTTTTTTTTTGTTTTTTTTTTTTGCACACAATTTATAAACCTTAAGTAATTTCATAAAAAATTTTTTTCAAGCTTCACACTGAAGTCTATAAAGTTGATCCTATCACAAGTGCTGTTTTGTTAAATTCCTAAAATATTAATAATTTCTATCTAGGAAAAGCTAAATGTTTAATTAGCACCTGTAAATTTTTATAATTTGTATTGTTTTAGGGGACACTAGATACTCAAAGCTGTGTGAATACTTAGTAAAGAAAAAGCGGTGTTACATGCGTAGGTTTCATAAAATGAAACTTTATAATGATATGGTAAGATATTTCTTGCATAATTCTCTTGTCAAGTTTTCACTCATTATTACCGGGTATGATAAACAAAATTTGAGTTAATGCTATTTATTCCATTTTTATTTTAGTGCCCTGAAAAACAACCTGAATATTATCAAAACATCTACTGCTTTAATGAACAACTTAGAGAACAATTAGAGAAAGAGAAAGAACAAGCTAAAAATTTTCCAGGTATTTCTAAGTTTTTTGGCTATTGAACTGAAAATACTTATAGCTTGTTTTGTTAAATGCAGCATTCAACCCTAATATAGTTTTTAAATGATAAACATTCTTAACATATAGATTCATTTTAATTTTTTAAAACATTTTCTGCAATAGATACATTTGAACCAGTTCATCAGACTCTGGAGACTAAGCCTTCCAGCTCAAACTGGCATTCTGTTTTTATCAAAACAAATACTTCTGATGTGTCTTATAAGCATAGTGTTGATCTGAAAGTTAAAAGGGAAACTTGTGACATGGTACCTCCAAAAATAAAAACTGAGTTGGATCCAGATATAAAATGTGAGAATTCTTGCTCGCCATGCATCTCTCCTCAAAATCTCAAAAGAAAGCTTCCAGATAAAAGCAGTGGGACTCTTAAACTTGTTTTTAAACGAAGAACTACTGATAATTTTATAGTTAAAAATTCTTTAGGTGATCAGGATAAACTACCAAATGATTTCAAGCCAGTTGTGAACTTAGAAAAAAGTGATAGTGAGTATGAGTTTGATTCACAATCAGGAGTAACCAGTGATAGACCTGTTATAGTACGCAGAAGAACGTCATCTATTTCTGTTACTTCAAGACAGACTTCTTTTGAGGGTGACAGTAACTCATCTAATTCCGAAAGCTCAAAAGAAAGAAGTAACTCCTCATTTGAGGATGAGGAAGAAGAGCAGGAAGTTGTGGATGATGATGAAGAGGAGGAGGATGAAGATGATGAAGACAAAGATGGTGATGTTGAACAGAGTTCTAGTGAAGATGATGGTGATGATGTGGAAAGTTTCAGTGAGGTTAAAAGACAATCTAAGGGATCTTATCATGTGTCATTTGATGATGAAGTTGAACAGTTGGAGAACAATGATGCTTTTATGGCAGTAGATGAAAGTGCAACTCAGTTTAAAGACTGCTCTCCCAACAAACCTCTCAGTAACAATTTTGAATTTTTAGATTTGCCTTCTAACAACAATCTCAGTAGAATTCAGAAATCTTCGCGTTCATTATCTCATAGCACATCTGTCATATCTGACGATGTCTTCAACTCTAATTTATCCTTTCCTGCAGCCAGTTCTGGTCTCACTAATGAGCTAAGTGATAGTGATGATAATTTTCATTTAGACAAAAGAGTGGATAATCCAACATTTTCTTTTTCTACAAATACTGCATGCTACTCTCATAGATCATCAACTAGACCAACACCGAGAAAAGAATTTGTGGCTGAAAACTCAGTGAATAAAGACACTAAACAGCAAGGACTGCCTAACTCTTCTATATTTACTACACCTAGTAAAAGTTTATTGCAAACTGATGCAATGTTCAACTCTTCAGAAGATGAAGATGATGACAGTCAAGGAGGTAGATTAGTGTCAGCTTTTGAAATAGACAATAAAGATCCTCAGAGCAGCATGATGAATGATTCTGTGAGATCAGCTATAAACAGTGTATTAAATGATGATGATAATGATGACTCTCAGACCAGTTGGTCATCTTCAGCTCATCGACCTCCGTCATCTTCCTCATCTTCTATACACCATAGCCTTTATCAGCAATCCCCTGCCATACCATCAAGCCATGACGCTGATTTAGATGCCGCTGTGCAAAGCATCTTAAATAGCTGAATTATTTTTTTTTTATCACCCCTGCAGTTATCTGCTAACAAGGCTACTCAGTTATGCAGACATAAGACATTTCCATTAAAGAGAATTGATGTGTATTGTTTAACTATAAATGGTGTTCTTAAATTAATAAATGTTACAGAATACGGTATAAATAGACTTAAAGTAATTACGATACTATATAAAAAACGTTCTGCACGCTTACATTTTGAAAATTTTATTTATTTATTATTCATTTTTTTGTTGTAGCAAAGGACAATTTCTGTTGTATTTTATATATTTATTGCAGTAAGTTATTTAAATCTAAAAACACTACAACAAGGATGAATATTAAAATTTTAAAATACTTGAAAAAGGATAAATGCTAAACTAAAGTTAGTTTATATTTAAATCTAAAAACGCTACCAAAAGGATAAATACTAAGCTAAAGTTAGTTTAACAACAGCTTTATTTTCTCTGTCATACACTGCAGCATTCACATGAATCATTCCACTTTGTTTCATTGAAACATTGCATAATAAAACACATCAAAATTAGGAGAAATTATTAAGTACTTAAAAAGTAACTTTAAAAATATAACCAACCAGAAGAAATTGTCAAAGACTATACTCATGTTACGATGTAAATAAACTTAGCTGTACATATTACATTTTTGACGTTGCTGTATTCACCAATCTTGAATTTGCAATATTCGTACTTAGTGAGGTGCACCGAAATTTATCAGCTGCTGCTTTATTACTCTGCTAGTATTTAGTTTTCAGAAGTGTTGGTTCTCTAATGAGATACAATTTAAAATAATGGCTGGGTGACTCTAAATTTGTGATAATAATTTTAAATTATTTATAATTTCAGAAATATAATAATTTTCTTTTCATTATCCTTCAGTTATTTTAGGTGTTAGCTTATTTTTGCTTTTGAAAATTACAATGTCTGTTGGTGCTGTGTGAGGGTTAACTCTCTTTAGTTCATAGTAACTTAGGAACTTAAATCTAAATGTATCAAAATTGTTTTTTTTTTTTAAATTCAAACGGTTCATTTTTTTATGTGCAAGCATAGCCTCAATATCAACTAGACTAATATCCTGAAATTAATTAACATTGTGGACACACACAAAATTTTTTTTAAAGAGGAGTTGCAAATTTATTTTAGCCTAATAAAATATGTAAATATATATTAAATTATACATCATAGAATAATAGGTAATTGTAAATACAGTCACTTTATGTAATTTAAAGAAGTGAAATGATTTAAAGATGATAATCTTATTTTATGATCAAATATGCATGTTTAATGACATGAAGTTGTTAATATAAATTTACACTAACGCTGTAGTTAACCCTTTAAATATTTTGTTTATTCTAATTGTTTGTATTCGACTATCGAATACAGTTTTAGGACACAACTGGCATTATTTTTGCCTACGTAAAATGTTTTATATAACTTGCATATTTCTCCTCACATAAAACAGTTTGAAGTAGGTTGTGAAGCCTAAATTTTTATCATCTAAATTTTTATATTTATCAGCATGTAGTTAGCAGATTAAGCTAAATTCTGTTTAAAAATCTGTTTTTGTTTAGCTCAAGCTAGAAATTGTGTACCTAATTATGCACTGCATTTTTGCAGACAAAGAATAAATACTGGTGTAAAATAACTTGGGATATTTTATTAAATTGACGACGTATTGTGGATAAGACTGATGGCTAAAAATCATAGGTCTTATAGATCATTTATCATTTTAAATAATTCAAATATATTTTGGTTTAAATAGCAGTTTTACCAAAAATGTTGCATAGATCACGAGTTATTTTGTTTAATGATTAAATTGATTTAGGCCATATTACCTACATGACTTTATTTTAAATTTACTCAGTACTATCTTTAATGTGGAATGGAAATGGAAGAAAAGAAGTAAACATTAACAGCATATTACTAAAAAATATTGCTTATTTTCATGCAATATTTAAAAAACTTTTTTTAGAGCTTTATATTATTAGAGGTGCTATGGGTGTTAAGTTACATTATCCTTTTATTTTTGTTGTTGTTAAAACCCCTCATGGGAAACATTTCAATTAAAAATGTATTGATAAATTTTGCGAATTGCAACAATAGTTTGCCATTATAATCAAATGACAGAAATAATACATTGTTTTTTTTTCAAACTAACAATTTTTACTGCATTCACAACCCTGCTTTGTTATGGACATGTATAAGCATTTATTTAAATATTTATAGTTTTTCTTTCCCACACTTACATTATATACATATATCAACCAACAGTAAAAAAAAAAGTCTATTGGTTCCTATGCATTATATTCATTGGTTTCAAAACTGTACTTAGGGAAGTGAGAAAATTAAAAAATAAAATAATTTTACTTCACAAAAATTACTCCATGGAAATGTTTTTTAAGTACAAAATTATGGAGGTCAGGTAGGGCACAATCATGACATTTTGAAATATTTTTTTTAAACGTTATACATCCTACATCTTAAGAGTTACAAGAATTAATAGGATGTAATTTTCACTTACTCGTTTTAAGCGAATACCTTTGTTTTTAATTAAAATCAGTATCATTTCCATATATAAAAAATACTTCATCAAAATATTTTCTTGAATATATTCAGTTATTTGTAACTTAAATTTGGTACAAATTAGTTTTAATTATTAGTGGATTTTTTTAATCATTATATAGCTTTCATAAATTATAATTAGTTTAAAAAGTTTTTTATTTTTTGGGAACTTTCATTTTCATCATGTAATTTTTTCAAAGGCAGCAAATGTTGGATATGTTCTTGTGTAAAGGTTATGTTCATGTCCAAATACTGTGGTAAGATAATTTATTTGAGGGTTTTTAATTGAAATGGCAATGTCATGTATTACAATAGCATTAGACTGCAGTTGATGTGTTCTGTTACAAAATGGTATTTAATTCATTTTATGAGTTTTTGTTACCCTGATTTTCAATGTCTACATTTGGCTCCAAAATTAAACCAAAAAAGAGCATTATATTAATGCAGAAAGTATGTACATGATTATAAATTTACTTTAATAGCTTAATAGAAACATTCTTATCAGTTTATAATTTAGTTTTATTTAACTTAAAAAATTCTCTAACAGACTTTTTAAATGTAATATTTGATTTTATATCTTATAAGCTACTTAAGTTTAATTTTTTATCATATTTTACACAAACATTTTTTTTTAAAATCAGGGTTGTCCAATCTTTTGACAGGACTAGTTTGCTGCAATTGCCTATAATATTTTGTCCTCTTTTATAGATATACTTTATGTATGTGTAAACAATCTGAATTATCTGTGATGTATGTTTTAAAAAGTTTGGAATAAAGTACCGCTGTGTTCAAATAGTCTGAAGTGTGCCAAATGTTGTTATATCATTAATGCCATACTATACTTAAGCAATGATGTTGCACAATACTGCTTCAGATTTACTGGTTTCATGAATAAGGTAAACAGGCCTGCATTGTCAGCAAAAACAGCATTTTAGGTCTAAACAGTGATATTTTAATAAACAAAGGTACAGAAAATACCATCATTCTGTTGGAGAGGGAGGGGGTTAAACAAAAATGTTTGTGTTGCTATTCATGACCACACCAGGTAGAGATGGACAACCCTGATTTCAATTTTATTAAATTGTAGTTTAGTATTATTAAATTTAAACTTCTAGGGCCATAATTTTTGCTTCATCATAATAGCATTTACTCTATGGGTTCACCCAACATTTATCTATTTTATGATGTCATGCAGCAAAGTTTGATGTTTCAAGAAAAAATTGTTATTGTTTACATAGACTTGTATTTCAAATCATCTAAAGTTGTTTTTAAAGAGCCCATTTCTAATTTATTGAATAAAAAGGACACTTGGTGAATTTAACTATCTGATTTAGATGCAATATAATTTACAATTCTTATTTTTTTCCTACATTGAATGTAATTCATTTTTGTAAAATAATACACTAACTTAAGTTTGGTCTAGTATATATTCTGTGTAATCTTAAACAAGTTAGTCCCACTTTTGTTTGGTATGTATTATTGCTTGGGCAAAATGTTGCTTGTAATGTAAGCAGTTGACACTTTTTTGGTTTAAAAATTGCTGAAGTGAAAATGTTTATGTAACAGAAATCTCTTTATATCTAGTCCAGTAGTAATGATCTAGTACTTAGTCTGAAGCATCAGATTAATTTGAAGTTTAGGTTTGCCTGAATGATTGTGTTTGTTATCAGGCTTTTTAAAAACACTTTTCTTTCTCTCATCTCACCCTGCCCTGAAGCATGTTTTTGTTGACCTGTTTTTTTTTCTCTCTAAAAGTGGGCAATTTTAACTTATCAGACTTGTGACTTTACATTGCTTCATCTGCAATTCAGTTTATGGTGCTTCTATTTATTTATTTTTAAACAAAGTTCTCAGGATTCTATTTTGGAATATTAAAGAGACGTAAATTTCAAGTTCCATTATAATATTCTGTTTAGGTAGTAGCTGTTACACTGGTTCTCATAATTTTAAAAAACAAAGATTTAAAGGAGGGTATGGTGTTACTTGATGTTGCTCAAGGATTGTGCATTATTTCCCTAACACTAAACTTGCTATTTGAACCCTGCTGTCTCTCAGGCTGTATTTTTGTGTGTTAATGTATACACAATTTTTGCATTCTTCTTTTGCTCATTTGCTCAAACTATGCCATTAACTTACAAACTAAAGCTTTATAATTTTACTTTTAAATTTTTGCTTGTGGGTGAATAATTTATTCGTTTTTAGTGAAATTGAAGTATTTTAAAAAATTTTGTTGCTAAATTTCAGTTAAGATGGATGGATTTGTAGAGGAGTAAGTGTGGATTGTTGAATTATAAGTTTTAATTTATTAAACTGAATAAAGTTACAAGATATTTTATTTAGAAGGTACTAACAGTATGCTATTATTTCAGGTTATTAACTTTTGGTGTATCAATCTTGAGTTGTTTATCAGATAACCACATGTACATCATTTCTACAGAGGTACTGAGCTGTTAACTAATGCCATTATGTTTTTCTAAAGCATCCCTTATGATTTGTTGCTATACATTTACCACATTACTAAAGTTTAAAGGTCATTTTTTTGTTAGATAAATATTTTGAAATTGACTTTGAATTGTTAGAAATTCTAGGTAAGTATCTAGTTTTTCTAGATACATATTTCTTCCTTTATTTTACTTGTTGGAGCAGGACTCTAGGGGGAAAAAACACGAAATGAAGCATCACAATATATTATTTTAATTGATATATATTGCTGCATATACCCTGTTTGCCATGCAATATTGTCCAACAGTTTCAAGTGATTGAATTTATCAGTATTTAAACAAATGTGTACATAGTAATTTGTTGTAACTTTTGTTAAATGATATAATACTGTATGTACATATGTAATTGAAATACTTGTTAAATGTCTTGTATGCTCTCATTCTTTTTACACAGTCATTCATATCATATTATCATATCATCATTGAATGACTAAATATATTTGTAATTTGCAATTTAAGTCTCTGTTATTTCTTTATTAATTCTGATTTAGTTATAATAAATTGTAACTATCTTAAGTGAAAAAAACAACCACGGGAATTTATTATATAGCAAGAAGTATGTTATATAGTTTAGCTAACAGATCTTTTGAGTAAATACAGATTTTTTGTATTTGCTTATCGCAAGTTTGGCCTACTAAGTAATTCCAGATTTTCAGCGCCTGACATTTCTGCGTGTACGTTTTCAGCCGAAGTAGACTACATGCCCCCATCCTCCTTTCCCCACACATCAGCCATTCCTTTGTGTCTTAGTTTTGAAAAAAATTGCTAACTCTGCATTTTTTTAAAAGAACAATTTTTTTTAAGTTAACGAGGGTCTTTCATTAAAGATTGGTCACTATCTGAGCCGCTTTTTGTTCGGCGATGTGGACACGTCACGATTTCACAAAAGTCCGTCTCCTTTCATTCCCCCCCCCCCCCCTATTGTGGCTACTACAATGACGTTGCAAAGCCAGTAGCCTAATGTTACACTAATGTAATAATCATAAATCCAACGAAAATTGCCGTGATATCCTTTTAAAGAATTTGACAATTTATGCTATTCCCTCTTCCGACGTATTAACAAAATATTAATGTTTATTGTGAATTTAGATAGATATAGATCTATGTTAATTATTTTTAAATTGTTATTTACTTTGTCCGAACTGCATTAAAAAACATCAGTTTTACAACCGAAGGCCTATGTGTAGATGTCATCTTTTTATATAAAAATATCTAAGTCCGACATTCTATGCCAGATACCATGCAGTGTTATTAACATAAGTTTAGATATAGATTATCTAAAAGACCACGCGTTAGGCCTTACCTACGCAGAAATTACCAGCTGATACATGCTATTTGCCTTGACCTTGACCTCGCCACTGATGTCAAGGATCTTGAACATGTACCGCTACACAGACACAGGACCCCCAAACATGGCGCAAGGAGAATGCACAATTCCCCCTAAACCAGATTTGGAGCAAACATTTAAGCTAGATGGATATCTGCGCAATTACGAAACGGAAATTAAGCGAAGGTGCTGTAAATAATGTAACTTTGGTGTGCTTTTTTGTTGCTTTTGCATCCAATATTTAATATTTTTGTGATTTAGAGTTAGAGGCCCAAAACTTCAGAACAGACAACACAACAGTGTCGTCACTCAGTAACTCGCTGGTCAGTCAGTGGCCTACTCGCTACTGTTATTAGAATCTAGATCTAGTGACTAGATCTAGAGATCTAACTGTTGGCTATTATTACTATTAACATGTTAGAGTACTGTTATAGTGTTCGTGTAGCCCACAACTGTGAGTCCGAGAGTACGAATACTTGAGATACTTTCCTTGATTATTCCATTGTAACAATTTGTATTCTGAATTCTAGATTTATTTTCAGTAATTTTCAGACTTTTATTTATTAATATAATATTTATTTAATTAGAATCTACTTACTTACTCTACTACTACACTAGTACTAGTAGTACTACAGTACTAAGTTAGTACAAAGTACTATAGAGATCTAGCTAGTCTAGTACTAGTTGGTGAAGTTAAAGAAAGATTTACACTCATAGAAGCCTACCACCACATTATATAATTAATAATAGCGTAGTGTTTCTTTCAGACATTGTATTCACGGGGGGGGGGGGGATGTGTGAGTGTGCACACACCAAAGAGATGCTTGCAAGAAACCCTGATAGTATTAGTAGGCTAGTAGGCCTATATTTTAATTTTTAGCCTTAGGCCTATAGAGTTTTGAGAATTGTAATGTATAGGTCTACTATAGCCTATAATCAGTGGCGTAGCGAGGTCGGGTGTCACCCGGTGTGGCACTTAATGGTGTCACCCCCCCCCCCCCCCCAGAGGCGTAGCAACCCTTCCCGGGGACAAACTTTCAAATTTTCGATTTGCACCCCCCCCCCCTCGAACTTTCGATTTGCACCCCCCTCAAGTTTTTCTCTATATATTTTGCTATTTTTTGCCTTGGTGTCACCCCCCTAAATGGTGTCACCCGGTGCGGTCCGCACCCCCCGCCCCCCCCCCCCTTGCTATGCCCCTGCCTATAATACACTATTATATATAATACGTGATATAACCTATAATCTCTTTAAGTTGTATAGTGATAGGTATATTATCTAGCAAAAAAAATGTTGAGTGATTAAAGTATTACGAAAGTTATAGTAGAGTAGTTTACCTGCAGGCTACATGACTGACTCTAGAATCCAAGTTCCAGTGGTGAGGGTAAGATTTAATGTCACCTTGGTGCTAGATGTACTCAATTTAAAATTAGATTTCAATATAGAACTACTATTAATAGTTTAATAAATATTAGTTATATATCTACATACTAATAATTTAGGCCTACTACATTTGGATTAATTAGGTCTTATCTTAGCTCTTATTTGAAGTTAGGAGTATTAGCCAGTAGATATACTGTTATTAATTGCGTTATAAACTTAGACTTAGACCAAATCTTTTTTTGTCTGTGGGGTCGAGTCAGTAAAGCTCATGGTTTCTAAACTGCAAAGTCTCAAGTTCAAACCCCTGGGCAGATGAGGCTCGATAGCTGGGGACAGCAACTCTTCTAGGAGAAACAACTCCAAAATCAAACAACTGCTGCCTTGTAGTTTGTTCTTGGTTACAAAGGCAATAGATCTAGAAGCAAATCCAAAAAGAAAAGCAGGCTGAAATCAGAGTCAATGGCGCATAACAAGTTGACAAATAATACTTAATTGTGTTGAAGGGTATCCCTTTCAGTTTCAGCACTAAATTTAAGAACAGTTGAGATAAATATAAATTAGGCTTGATAAAAATTCAACCAGATATTAATTTACATTTATAAAGCTATTTAATGTCTATTTGACAAAAATAGCCTCTTTATTGATAAAATGCACATAATTGAGGCCAAGTTTAATTCTAGCCCATTGTCTGATGCTTATAGTGATAGCAAAACAAAGTCTCTAATGGTATTAATGGTACCATCATGCTAGTATTTGTATCACAAGCTTCAAGTATTCATATTTTAGATTATTTTCTATATTTAAGGTTAAAATAAAAAACTATTTGGCAATCAAATAAGATATACATACTCACCAACTTTTGTTTAATCTTGCATTTGTTATTGATTATGCTTTTTGTACAAATATTAATTAATATTCAATACATTTAAAAAATTTTTTTTACCCATTTCAGGTATGATTGTTTCTATGATTTAGTCCAAAAGATAGAAAAAAATGAAGGCAGCATTGAGAAGTTCACCAGAGGATATGAAATATTTGGAATACATCGTCAGCAAGATAATGCTATTCATGCAATGGAATGGGCCCCAGGTGCAGCTGGTGTTTATTTACGCGGTGATTTTAGTAAGTATTTCTTGTTGTAAAGTTAAAGATTCCTCGTTAGATCTAACCATTCATTCTAATTGTAGTTGGGTTTAATAATATTTTTTGTTGCATTTTCTTTTAACTGCATACATTTTCATTCCCTTTAAAATCATTTGTCATTAGCATATTGATACAGACAAATCAAACAGGATTTTACAATATAATGATTTATTATTATAATACACTGTATTTTTTCAAAACCAACTATTGCTTGATTGTAAAATTTGCGATTTCTTCAAACAAAAGCCATAGCACATCATTTTTTAAATTGTAAATTCACTTTCTGTATTATTGCAATTACAATGGTTCTGTGGATAAGGTTAAAAAATTGTAAACTGTAATAAAGGTATTGTCTAATTCATTAAAGAGAAGAAAGGTGAGAGAATTTGTTATATATTTTTTATTAATGCCGGAAACATATCATGTTATGAAATTGCTAATATCTATGCATTAAATCTTTTGAATGCTGTGAGAAGATTTGCTAAACCTTAATTCAGGGGATTTTCTATACCAGTGTCCAATCTATATATAATTCTCTTCATGGGGACCATGCGAGACACCATGTCAATGCACGCGTTACTCCCCCACTCTCTAGGCATATAGCTCCCACCCCTACCAGTCTGGTGAGCTGTGGTTCACGCCAAACGTTTACAATTGTAGAGCCGGGTCAAATTATTAAGGGGCAGATAATTTAGTTTTTAAATGATTTGAAACTAAGGGAGGTAATAACAAGTTTTGCTTGATCTTTTCATTGTCGTATGTAAATTGTCACAGAGTTGGTGTGGGGGGGGGGGGTGGTGTGGAAGGGAGGGTGAGGATTATCGTTTCTCACGAGCTACTAATTTAAAGCAAAATATTTTCAGGTAGTGTTGAATTCACAAATTATAAATTACTAAAAGTAAAAAATAAAACTACTAAATAGCGGCGTATGTTTACGGCGCATGTCAGCTCGTAGTATAGAATCTTCTTAAAAAAAGGAGTGTTAGGTTACTGGTAGTAACATGCCTTGCTAATGTAGATGCTAACCCTCTCCCTAACCCCAACCCTAGTCCTACCATATGCCTGACTCTAATTTCTAATATCTTCTAGTATCTTCAATCATTCCTTAATTTTCAAAAGCTAGACTGATAAAAATAATTTCTTGTCTATCAGATAACTGGCAGTTTGAGGAGAAATATGCATTCAAAAAGGGCGATTTTGGAAGATGGACATTAACAATACCTGCCAATGATGATGGTTCATGTCCAATTAAGCATAACAGCAAACTTAAGGTATGTATGCTAATTTTGTGTTTTTACAAGTGCCTCTACAATATAATTTGAATGGACAAGCACATATAGGATAGTTTTAATATTTCTAATGAACATTTTAATATTTATTCCGATTAACCTATATCTTTGTAACATGTTTCTTTTAAAATTAATCATTCATAGTTTATTAAAACTTTAATAATAAAGATAAATTTTAATTATTATTATTTTAGTTATTAAATTGGATTAACTATTATTTGAAGAAATAAACTCTTCTAGCTTGGCATGAAGTTACACAATGGTAACATTGTTGACCGGATATGTCCTTGGGCCAAAATGGTAGGTCGTCCTGCGACTGTGCCTATCTTTGAGCAGATTTTCTGGGACCCTCCCATGGAAGAGGTAATGTTTATTTATGTATCATTGGTTACAAATGATTTGATATTGTTAAAGTAATGTGGAATAATTTTAAAAGTGTGACTAATATTTTAAAATTTTGGTTTGCAGGTGTATAAATTTAAGCATCCACATCCTCAACTAGGAGCAGGTCTTAAAATTTATGAAAGCCATGTTGGGATTGCATCTTGGGAAGGAAAAGTCGCGTCATATAAACAGTTTACGCAAAATGTCATTCCTCGAATAGCAGATTTAGGTAAATAATTTACTTATTAGACACCATTCTTGTTATCTGAGCTGACTTTTGAAATTGAAAAGATATAAACATCAACATTTCAATACTTGATGTTGTGTAATGTTGTTTTAAATGGGATGGCATGACCAGGCAGTAGAGCTAACCCCAAAAGTTGTGAGTTTGTATTCTGGACTCAAGTCCTTAGGACATCAGTAAATACACCCAGCTTTGAAGGGTACCTGATTCATGTTGGTAAAAGAAAAGGTGGCTGGGCATAGCGCTGACCACATTATCCTTTTGAGTGCTCGGTTTACAGAAACTGGTAAACTACTTCACCTACCCTATTGCCCATCAGGTCTAAATGGTGTATTACTTTTTTTTTACTTTAACTTGACATTGTTTTAATATACTTTTTACCTTAATATTGCGGAATATGAAATTGTTTTCTAAATCTATACTTTCAGGTTACAATGCAATTCAATTAATGGCTATCATGGAACATGCCTACTACGCCAGCTTTGGCTATCAGGTTACAAGCTTTTATGCTGCCTCTAGTCGTTATGGAACACCAGAAGAACTAAAAGAACTGGTTGATACGGCACACCAATACGGTATTGTTGTACTGTTAGATGTGGTGCACAGCCATGCTTCCAAGAATACTGTTGATGGACTCAACCAGTTTGATGGCACAAACTCTTGTTATTTTCATGATGGTGGAAGGGGAACTCATGATTTATGGGACTCAAGGCTATTTAATTACACAGAGTAATACACATATTTTTTGCAGAGTAATGTTTAGATAGATATCTTTAGGAGAACCTCAAATATTATAATAAAGTGTATTTTTAATAACTAATTCTTGTGTACAATAGTACAAATTAAATAATTTATCATTTATTAGGTTATATGAACTTTCTGCATTGTAATGTACACATAGAACTCAAGGGGAACTTTTATTTAAAATCATTTAGTATTTTTAAAGTTTGTTAGTATGGTAGTGGTAATTCTTGTATTCAAAATTACTATTTAAAAAATTACTTTTTTTACTAGATGGGAAGTTTTACGCTTCCTGCTATCCAATTTAAGATGGTGGATAGAGGAATATCACTTTGATGGGTTTAGATTTGATGGTGTAACTTCCATGTTGTATCATTCCCATGGAATGGGTGAGTAATTATTTTATTGAAACTAATGAAACATATTTTATCACACACATAGTGAAGTTGATAAAATTTGAATTGTTGATTAACTAAACTGAAGTTAGTACAAATATTGTTTTTGCTGCAATTAAATTAAATCACTGGCCTTGTAATAAATAATTAGAAGCTGAAAGGGATTGGTGTGGATGGGCTAGTAAGCCCATTGTTGCTAAATCAAAAAGAGTTCAAACCCCCCCCCCCCACCCCGGTAGATGAGGTCCAATAGCTGGGTACAGCAACCAATCTAGGAGAGAAAACTCCAAAATCAAACAACTGCTGCCTTGTACTTTGTTCTAGGATGGACAAGGCTATGAAAGCAAATCCAAAAAGAAAAGCAGGCTACAATAGGAGTCAAATGCATAACAAGTTGACATGTACTACTTTATTGTGTTGAAGGAAAATCCTCTAACATTACAATTACAAACAAAAACAGCTGAAGAATATTGAGGAGTAAAACTATATATATAGATCTATATTTAGCGAGTTGCGCAGCTTGCGCCGTGACCTTTGTTGCCATGGTAATCATGGCTGTACCTTGAACCTAAATTCCATGTTTCCGGTTGCCCATTGGTAATTAAGGCCATGTCGCTTAAGGCGAAACCACAGCACACCTGATCTACGCATGACACAGTGCGCATCTTTGTTTTAACCTCAAGAGGATTTAGATTCAAAACCTATTTTAATTTTTGGATCTCGTTTATTATCTTACAGAGGAGCAATGTGCTGAAATATAAGGTAAGAATCTATAAATAATAAGGTACTTAATATTTACATTGACATGCCCAAATGTTGACTAGACTAATAATTGGGTCTTCTAAAATTAACCTATATTTTAAAATTACGATTTCAATGGTCCGCAAGCCTAGGAAGGCCCACCGCGATAGAGCCTTAATTTCGCGCCAAATTTCCTGTGATTCTTACATTATTAAAATATCGCATTACTTGATTACTATTAGTATACTATAGGCCTACTAATAATTAACAATTTAGTTTAAGTAGCCTACATTACATTTACTAAATTATTACGGTTGATTAGGACAATTAGGTCTAGATCTAGATCTAGATCTAGACTTTACATTAATTTAATTTTAAGATTTTTACACAAGTTGACTTAAATCTAGATTTCTAGATCTAGACTCTAGAAAATAGAAAATTTAGACTCTAGTATAGTAGTAAATAGGCCTAGAATAGATCTAGATCTAGATGATATTATTAATAAGATAGATAGATAGCCTAATAGATTCTGGATTTAGAAAAACGAATCCAGATTACTAGATCTAGATCAGATTAGATTTAGAATATATCTAGATCTAGTAAAAAATAATCTAGCTTTAGGCCTAGATCTAGTTTAATTCTAGATCTAATTTAATCTATAGGCTAATAGGGCCTACACTAATCTAGATTCTAGTAAGAAATAAAAGGCTTAAAAAGGTGCTAGTTAATTTTGATATAGATCTAGATTCTAGATTTAGACCTAGATCTAGAATCTAGATAAGTTAATTAATTATATAATTATAGGCCTATAAGTGTTCATCTAATTCTGCATTAAGTATTAAGTAGGACTAGGCCTATATCAATTCATTAATTAGCCTATTTATTTTAATTCAGTACATTTAGTAGATGAACACAATCATTTAATCATTATGTTTTATTAGGTCATACAAGTACTAGATCTAGTCTAGATCTAGATCTTGTAAAAATAGTGAGACATTGTTAAATGGTTAAGAATAGATTTAGACTAGTGCAGGTATAATTCTCCATCAAGTAGGCCTATAATCACTATATATTTAAATTAATGTAAGCCTATGTATATATCCATAATTAGGCCTATTAAGGACAATTTTAGTACTTGATAATTTTATTAATATTAATTTAATTCTAGACTTGGGTCAATTTGTTTTCTTTGTACATCTTATTTGCTTATAGGCAAGACCAACAAGGTGTAAGAAGGATTGCTAATGTAATCAGAAACTTGATGGCTGAGATAAAGCGGCTGAGGAGAACAGGCTTGTGACTAGGAATAGGTTGGTGGAACTTGTGTACAGCCCTTTCTATGTTCAACCCATGTCTCAGGTGGAAGTACATTCAGTAAGTATGGAGACTGAATTTATTTCTGATGTTTATATTTATTTTATATAGTTTGCAATATGTTGTGCTAGATATATATTTTGTGAAATGGTCTGCTAAATTCTAATTCCATTTGCCCTTCTCTTTTCAGGTACAGTTTTCATGGAGATCCAGCTTTATTCAAGGCTCATCTTAAAGAGAATGATGTGGCTGCTGGGACATAACAAAAATCTACATTCAACTGCTTGCAGATCTCAAGAAGCCTAGGGTTCTCATGCAGCGCCGCAAGCACTCAGGCTGATTGGGAAGTTAATTTCTGGTCCTTTGATAAAGCTCATTTACAAGAACGCAATGTGGCGATCAAATGTACTCTGTTTCTTAAAGTCATGGAAGCGTTGTTGACTTCTACTGAGCCTTTCTTGGTGTGACAGCTGGAGAGGTATCTGATGGGAAATCTGATTGGTGTCTAGCTGACTCATAAGTGGGAGCAAGGTGATCAGGGTGTGTCGCAATACAGTGGAAGGACTATTAAAAGACTGCCAGCAACAAAACAAAAGTCAGCTCTTTACACCATAAGCTACTGGGCAGAGGATGAGGATAATGCTGAGGATTTCAGTCATCGGGCAGAATCACTGGTGGTTGACTTTATAGGAATCTTGTTTTTCTTTCTGAATAATAGCTAAACAGAATTTCAGAGTACTTCTTTCATTTTTAGTATAAAAATGAACTTTATTTTTTAAACATTAGTGTTTTAATAAATTGTTACTGAAAAAATGATTGCTGTGAATTGTAAACTTATTTTGAAAACTAATACTAACAATGTTTATAATTAAGTTTAGTGTTCATAGTGTAAAAAAAAAATTACATTTTAATTAATTACTTAACTTATTTTTCAGGGTAATTGAAATCAGCTAGATAACCCTAGAATCAGTAGTCAATGTGCTTCTTTTCCTTAGATGTGCTCATTGTATCTAAAGATTAATTATAATTGATACTTAAGAAAATTGTTTTAACACTAAAGCGACTAAAGTGATCCAAGAAATTTTTCGTCACCTATTTTTTTTCCAGCATACATTCAATAAATGGGTTAGATCTAGATCTACTAGTAATTATACTTTAAACCAATATTTTAATGTTTATTCCTTGATAATTAATACTACTTTTCTTCTTAAGAGGGATCGTAATGAGAAGAGGCTAATTTCTTGATTATGTAACTGTTTTACAGTACTGTGTTGATCGTAGATTATACAAGGGCTAAATTTAGGTTGTCACTATGTAATTTATTTCTTTGCTCTTATAAACATATTTTTAAATTATTGCAAAAAATCTTTTTTTTTACTTTGCCATTCTCCTAAATGTTTCTATTTTATTAGACAAAATTAAAATTCATGTGGTAATCTGATTACTGTATTTTAATAATTTATATTTCTTTTAGCAAACATTGAAATGTCAGTATGCATAGTTCAGTAGTAATAAACACTGGTACACACTTTGACAGCTGTTTTCTTTTTCTTGTGTTCTAATACTCTATAATTTTATTATGGCCTCCTGATATAGACACTGAATATCAAGGGGGGGGGGGGGGTTGAGAAGGTATCGTAAAGGCAACCAGTTGCCACTTCCATTTTCCATGTGATGTGTGTGTAGGTCTACTCTACTTCATCTACCCAAGTAATATCGTTCATTACAGTTACATTAAAGAACTTGTGAAGTAATATGTGCTTATGCATTTCTATTATATAATTTATATAATAGTAGTAACAGTATTAAATATTAATAAATCGATTTACAATAACTAGATCTAGTTTATTTTAAACCTACATTAATTTTTTTACACGGAGTAATAAGTCAATAATAATATATGAATCATGAATGGAATTAAATTACTCAGTCAATCATATCCAGTCCAGTATAACGTAGGCTTTAAGTTTGATTATAATTTTTTAGTTTTAAAAAAATGCGAATCCCGGATGATGCAATAAAATTATAATTTTTTAATTTTTCGAAAAATGCGAATCCGTGATGATGCAATGAAAAAACCATCGGTGCCAACTTTTTTTCTTGCGTAACATAGACTTGAATGACGAAGGTCTAAGCTGTTTAAGCCACGCCCACAAATTTTTAAAAGGCCATATCTTAGCTCCTAATTAAGCTAGAGACACAAAATTGGTATCAATGTGTAGGGAAAAAAATCCTGTTTGTTTGTGATATAATTTTACTCGAAATTAGTGGAGTTTAAAAATTACGAGCAACAGCCTACTATATTTATTAAGCTATTATCTCTATAACCAAAGGATGTAATCAGTTTTTAAAAATGCATGTAAAATGCTTTGTACTTGCAGGGCATGGATTCAGTGGTCATTATGATGAGTATTTTGGTCTCAACACAGACACAGATTCACTTGTCTACTTAATGATTTCAAACTATATGCTTCATACTTTGTACTCAAAGTTTATCATCACTGTTGCTGAGGTATAGATACTTTATGATTGTCATGTGCTTATATCTTGTTATAAATAATATTTAAAAATATTTCTTGTGATTTTTTTTTTTATATAAAAGGTTTAAAAAATTTATTTCTGCTATAATTTAAAACTATAATACATTTTTTTATAAAATTACTTGTTTATGCTGGTGTTCATTTTTATAGGAAGTATCTGGCATGCCTTTGCTATGTCGACCTTTAATTGAAGGTGGTGCAGGATTTGACTACAGATTGGCAATGGCCATACCAGATGTTTGGATCAAGGTAAAATTATTTGGTACTTTTGCCCAGAAGTAAATTTATTTTCCTATTTTGAGCTACTCTTGACAAAAGGAACACATTTTTTACAAGTGTCTGTTATCTTATAATTAAATCTTACAACCTTTACATTTTAATTTTATATCTGAGTTAAGTTTTTAAAATAATAATTCTAAATAAATTTTTTTTAAATTGCTTTTCTCTGGTATATTTTCCAAATGACATAATAAAATAAGTAACAATTGTGTTATTACAATGAACTTATAACTTTTTTAAATTACAATATTTAGACATTAAAACACTCGTCTGATGAAGAATGGAATCTTGACAATATTGTCCACACCCTCGTCAATCGCCGCTATGCTGAAAAGTGTATTGCTTATGCAGAAAGTCATGATCAAGCTCTGGTTGGAGATAAAACCATAGCCTTTTGGCTCATGGATAAAGAAATGTATACACACATGTCCCTAATCTCTGGAGACAACATAATCATTGATCGTGGAATTGCCCTGCATAAAATGATACGTCTCATAACTATTGGATTAGGCGGAGAGGCCTACCTAAATTTTATAGGTAAGCAAATTATGCCATTTCTATAATTGTAAACATTGGTATATCTCTACAACTTAAACTTTTTATCATTTTTCAAGGAAGTTTTATTTTAGATACAATACCAAAGGGAAAAAAAATGTTAATTTAAATTTTTTTTGAAGAGGTATCAATTTTTTAAAAATTAGCACCAAAATGGGGGTAGAGCATGATCTAACAGTGCAATGCTAGTTTGTTAACCCAAAGAAGTTGCAAGTTTGTAAGCTTAAGAGTGTACAATGTTCCATCATACAAATTCACTCCTCACTACCAAACCTGATCATGATCCTGGCAATGTAAGTTCTAGAAATGTTACATTTTATAACACGCTGCTTTCTGCCTGGCTTCAAAAGAAAAAAGTCACCAATATTAATAACTTGCAAGTTGTTTGAACAATTTAATTGAATTCACTATTCTTTTATACTGCCACAAAACCGTTACCTACTATCTTTTAAATTAAATGTAGTGAAGTCAAAATTACAGCAATATCAACTTCAAAGATAGTTAAATTGTAATGAAATAATTGTGAATCTAAAAGCTAATCGTTTATAAATGCTGACTTGATTTTAGTGAAACTAAATAAAAAATTTAATACTAAAAAAAAAACAGGCTATCTCAGACTGTATCATTCATTGTACCATAAAAATTTCGCCCCACTTTTAGGTAATGAATTTGGGCACCCAGAATGGCTTGATTTTCCAAGAATTGGAAATAATGAAAGCTTCCATTACGCTCGCAGACAATTCCATCTTGCTGATGATAAACTTCTTAGGTACCAATTCCTTAACAACTTTGACAGGGCCATGATTCACTTAGAGACAAAGTACAACTGGCTTTTACATCATCAGGTGCGATTTATATTTTTACATTACTATTAACTGCAGTTAGAGACAGTCATATAAGTATTTGTACACTGTGTAAAGTGAAATGTAACACTGATTTATTTATTTTTTTACTAACTACAAACTTCTATCTTTTTTAGAACTATGTTAGTTTGAAAAATCAGGGAGACATGGTAGTCGTGTTTGAACGTGCTGACATGCTGGTGTTTATCTTCAATTTTCATCCATCCAAGAGCTACACTGATTACAAAATTGGAGTGCAAGTACCAGGAACGTATCCTTTTGTATTAATTATGTCTATCCATATGAGTCAGATTAGTTGAAGGGCATTGAAAACTTATAGCATAAAACTAAAAGTGTTATGCTAAAGGGGTGTGTCTTCATAGTCCTGGACAGGGATATCATAATGTGAATATATACTGATTAAACACTAGTTAAAATCTAGTTTGAAGAATGTCATTGTCCTTAACTAATTACCAGCTATGAGGTGGTTCTAGACTCAGATGCAGAAGAATTTGGTGGTCATAAAAGAATTGACCATAGTGTTAAGTTTCTCACCTTTCCTGAGCCATGGTGTAATCGTGACAACCATATTTTTGTAAGTATTCTTGGTTTTTGTTATTTGTCAAGACTGTCATTTTTTAATGGCATTGTCGGTTAGAGTTATAGCTAGCATTAGGGTAGTGATACCAACAACAAAAAACAACACACACACACAATTCTAATAAACTATTAAGTTGATTCAAATTGTTTAAACAAATGAGAACATTAATCACGCTGTTCATTCTTTCAGGTATATATACCCTGCAGAACTGCCATAGTTCTAGCTAAAACTGCATGAACAAGTCGACAGTGTGAATCGGTTGAAGTTTTTCTTTAAAAGAATGGGCGTCATTTTGTTTGACATAGCTATTATTAGATCTCAAACTTTAGTTGTTGATAGTTTTTATTTTTAGAATAATGATCTTGTTCTCTAACAGATCTTTCACCCTGCTCTTTTATTGTAAGGTTCCATTCTCTATTCTTCCAAAACATGCTCATTTAGATTCAATAATCTCTTCACAATGTGTTCTTGCTTTAAAGGTATGTTGTTAAAGGACTTTATCTTTGTCTGGACTTTATCTTTGTCTGTCGCAAGATAAAATACTCTGAAATGTAAAATTAAAACTGACTACAAATTTAAATTTGGAGGAAAACATAAAAAATCTCCCAATTTTTTATTTTTTTTTGCCTGACTTAAGAACACTAAGTTATGTTATTTTTGCAAATATTGAAGATTGTTGCTGCAGTATTTGAACATACTTAATGCATTTATGTATCATTTAAATTTATCTTTATTTTGACTACAGCCTTAAGTTTCTATTAGCTAATTTGGAAAAAAATTGATCTAGAACTTTATAAATAATTTCATTATTTATTTTTTATGAAATTGAAGGATATGGGCTTACTTTTTAGTTGATATTTCTGACATAAAATTGTCCATAGCAGATATATTTATTTACTAATTACATATTACGATGTACTTTAATAGAAAAGGTAGACTTTTAAATATTAAATTCTACTGTTATTTTATTTTCTGTATTTTAACTAGATGCTCAACTGTTCTAAAAAGAATAATTTTATTAGCTAAAATATTTAGTGTGTAGAAAACAATGTATTTTTTTAGTGTTCCAAGTGCAGATTCTCTTTTTGTAGCATCTTTTTTTTTTCCAGGTGGCAAATTTTTTTTTTTAGAAGTATATCTAGTCTTTATGTTATTTTCATTATTTTCTTCCTTTAAAAAAAAGCAACTTAATCTATTGATTACATTTTTAAACTAGAGGCCCTATACATTTATTTTTTTAATTACTCAGGTGTAAAATATCTGCAATTATGTTTCAAGAAATTTTATGACAAGGAATTTTTAAATTGTGTATTTAGAAGTAGGTCATATTACAAAGTGTCTTTAAAATGATAATTTCCCCTTGAAAGAAAGCTTTTCCCCCTTCTGTTGTGTTGCTTTGGAATGGTGTTTGCTGTAGACTAAATGTGCTGACCTAGTACAGCATTAACTGTTGGATTAGTCTCAGTCTTTTGTGTTGGCTTTACAGGTGTAAAGTCATCAACGTCCCCACTAGACATCTTTTAAGATAACTATTTAAATTGGGACACAATGGTTTTTATTTCATTTTTCCTGCTCTTACCAAAATGTTTTTTTTCTTCCATTTTATAATGGACCAATTTATTTTTAGAATGAACTTTGTTTTTGGTAATTTTAAAAACTATGGTTTTCAGGGGGTTATCTTACTTGTAGTATTCCCCATTGGTTTAGCTATTGATAATTTGCAAACCAAATTTATTTTCAATTTTATTTTTAATATCCCTGGCATAATTTCTGCTTACTCAAAATGATCAGTAAATGAAATAACACTCAACAAATTAATGCTACACTTATTCAAGTTAATAGAAGGCTTTCATTGTAAGAATAGTAGATGTTTCTAAATTATGTTTATTTTCTCAACTGAATTTTTCATCATTTTTAAAACTCTAATTTTTTCCTTTCTTTTGACACTGCCAATTTTGTACAGTACATTGTTGCCATGACTTCAAAGATACAGAGTATTAAGCAGAATTGTCTTGAAATCTTACTTAATTACCTAATAGTCTACACATAATTCTGTACAAATTTTGACAATCAAACCTGGCAATCAAATAATTATAGTTAACATTTTGCTGCATGCCAATACAAAAAAAAAGCGTAAATTGAATTTCTACTTTTAAACTTTTCTGTTTCTCTGAATGTAACATTTTTTCCCACAAGTAAATTGGTGTACTAAATCAGTTTAAACTTAAGTGGTTGTACATCATCCGATTTACCCAGAAACTATATATCCAGATTACTTCAAGAACAAAAGGGTCAGCTTGTGTTTCGCCCCCTGCTCGTTACTGTTGTGTCTCCTTATATTTTCAAACTTGCTCACCATAAAAGTATTTTTGAAAATTATGTACATATATCAAGCTTATGTTTACAATTCTGAAAAGATACTTTTGTCTGTTTCAGCAATTGAGGTTGTAACCTTCAGATATGTGTTATTCTTTAAAGATGAACTGTTCCAAAATAATTTTTAAAATAAGTAATTATTGATACAAAAATTATTATAAGAAACGTGTTGCATTTAGAATATATTTATTCATGTACTTGTTAATAAATAATCTTGGAAGAGAATATTTTGGTGATTCGTTTATATATAAACCCATTAATAATGTGCTTGTATATATTTGTTGCTGCTCTAAATAGTTGAAGCTGAAGTATAAATTGTTGAATGAAAAGGGAAGCTACTGTTTTCGTTTTCTTGTTTTGTTGAGTAACACATCTTTGACTTCTTGGCTTGTAATTTTTGTCGTCTGTGCAAAGACCTGGTCCACTTGTGATCTTCTAAACTGTTTTTTCTAACAGTAAATAGTTCTGGGGGTCCATCTTTTGTGTTCAAAACTACAAAATGATATTGACCCTGTGTGTTTTCCATATTTAAATCAGAATGTTCACTTTTATCGGCTGATTGGTGATTTATGAAAGAACTTGGAGTTATCGTTCTTTGTTCTTCTGCCAGAGAGTTTTGTGTATCTCGATTAGTATTATGGCGTTTGTTACTATTTGTACCGTTTTCGGTGTATTGCAATGATATTTCAGAGCATTCCCGTGTTAACTGTTTATCTGATGAATTTTCTTCGTTAATCGTTTGATTAGCATTCACCGAGAAGTTCTTTATAGTATCACTTTGTCCTGATGAAGTTAAGGCTAGAGCTTTGTTTTTCAATATTCCGCGAAGCGGTTTTGGGGGTGGTTTAGAGCTTATAACAGTGGCCTCATTACTCCGCGAAGAACTTCCAGCAACATTATGTGAAGGCGTGGATTCGACTTCTCGTTCGACTGGGATGGTGTTTTTCTTTGCCCGGGCGCGCCTCTGCCTCCACATTTTTCTTGCTTTAGACTGGGTGCTGTTTCTCCGCAAACTGTCGAAAACGTGTGCAAACTCCGGGTTCTGATCAATGAAGTTCTCGTCTCTACTACTGCGCACGTCACTGGAGATTGATTTTTGTGAATGGGGGCTTAGACTGGAGTCAGTAATAATATCCGGTGTTTCTTCTGTATCGTCGGGGGATGACTTTCCTTCAGGTTTTGGTGATTGGTCAGTCGAAAAAGCAGACGGGGTGTCGTCTGACGCTTCGTAACTTTGAAGAACCTCATCAATATCTGCGTAACGGTAGGCGTAGTAATCCTCGCTACTGCTGTTCCGTCTTCCAGTTTCGTCTACCAAGCCAGATGTCGGGACAAACACGTGACGCTGCTCATAGTGATTGTTCTGTGGGATGTCGGGAAGGTATTGAGCCTGTTTTTGAAATCGGTCTTCGCTTCTCGATCCTTTGTTATAATCTACCGGGTCGTCTAGAAAGACGTCGTCACTGAGAGCGTCTTCGTCGAAGAAAAACTGCTGGGTGACCTCGTCGAGGCTGCTGCCGAAGAGGTCAGATCTCCAACTGAAGCTGGTATTGATGTTTTCTGGTAGGTCACCCGGTGGTGAAAAAAAGCCGGGCTTCCTGGTGTCGAGCATGGTCATGCAGCTGAAAGTTTCCGTTAGTTTAGAGCAAGGGTAGAATGTAAAATCTGAATCGGCTTCGGAGCTGAACACGGAACCGCTGTCATCCGAGAGAGCTCTTGATTCGGCGTAATTGTTCGGTACATAGCGAGCTTCGTGGGGGTTGAATTTCGCCCTCTCGTGAAAAGTTTGAGTAAAATGAGCGTGGTTGTAGCCGAGGTCATAGCGAATCTTCGGAGGTGGAACCGCTCTGTAGTCGTTGCTTTTGTACATGTGCATGGATTCGGGGATTCTGTGGGGGTGTTGCTCTTGATAGCGGTATGGGTGGTCTGGGTAACGGTAACAAAATCGTTCTTCGTACGTGTCGTAGAGGGGAGAGAAGCAAGCTGGATGTCTGCTTGGGTCGGGTTCGTAATTCGAGTGAACCGATTTGTCGCCGATTCGTTTTAAATACTGAATAATGTCAGAGTTCACGTGTTCATAATCCCCGTCGTCGGGAACTTCGGGGTCGGTCTGAACTTGTTTGCATGTCATTGGAGGATGTTTTACTATCTCTGTTTGAAGGGGCCGCTGGGGTAAAGTATCGAAAATATTGTTACTCTTAAAACTGGGTGTGTTTTCACAATATTTGTTTGTTTCGGTGTTTACACATTTCATGCTGGGTGTATTTTCACAATACTTATTTGTTTCGGTGTTAACATATTTCATGCTGAGTGTGTTTTCACAATACTTATTTGTTTCGGTGTTTACACCTGTCGCACTTGAGTGTTCACAATATTTATTTGTTTCGGTGTTTCCACTTCTCATAGTTTGTGTGTTCCCACAGTTTTTGTTTGTTTCGGTGTTGTTATACTGGCGCGTGCACAACTCCACGCTGCTCTCCGGTGACTTCCCGACGCAGACGTCACGTGGCCAGGTCTGGCACATGCTTTGGAGCTGTGAGTTAGGATCCATCAGCAAACGACCCGTTGCGGTTTCATTGGGGCGTCGAATCACGTCAACATAGTTGTTGGTGCTTACAAAACTTTTTGGCATCCACCCTGAGTTCCCGCCAATCACCCCGTTGCTGCTGTATTTAGCGCTGGTGGTGCTGACTTGCGCGTTTGGCATGGTGTTGTTTCTCCTTAGCTGACATTTTGATCGATCGTGCCGCGACAAAATGCTAAGGGAATCCATTATCGCTTTCTTCAACACAATAAGACGATCCAATTTCGCTGTTGATTTTTTCTCACGATTTTTCTCGCTCTTTGACATAGCCGTATCAGACCGAGCGATATAACAACGTGGAGCAAAAGTAGACAATGCGCTGGCGATAGTGAGTGCGGGTAATCGGCATTTGCATCTAATTATATTTACTCGTTGTTTTGCTTACTGTTTGTAAGTCCACCTGAAATAAATATTGAGAAAACAGTTGAATAAAAGCGGAGATAGTTTTTATAGGGGAAAATTGAAACAGTACGATAGTAATAAGATATTAAAAGAACTTTCACACAACTTATAAGATTTTGTAAATAACTTTTCAAATGATGAAATTTGATGATTAAACGAAAAAAAAAGTACTTTGAGTGAAATCAACGTGCATCAGTCTTGAACTATTAAAAAGTCCTAAAGTATTTTGTTGTGGGATGTATGAGCATAACGGAGAAGATAGACAACACTTAAATCATGGAGCATTTTTAAAATGTGTCAGCGTTGGATCTTCATCACTGCTGTGCCTGTTCATCTAACTAATCCCAGTCGTTAAAGCTTTTTTAAATCAATAACTAGAAGTAGTCAGGGGCGGAACTACAGTGCCGCCAGACCCCGCAATGCGGGGGGGGGGGGGGGGGGGCACGACGTTTAGGGGCCTAATTCCGACCAAAAAAACAATGAATTTTCTTTTCATAAATAATGTTTTTCGTGCACCTTGATAGTGGTTTTGTAAAAAAACAAACGTGTCTACTATAGCAGTGATTGTTCTACAGTAACTAACACACACTGTTGCGTAGAGAAATATAAAATTTATAAGAGCTCTACTTTGAAAGATAGGCAAACGTTCACACTACTTCCATGACTTACTGCCCTTCATTAAAACACGGGTGCCCATAAAGCTCATTTAAATAGTTTTGTACTATGTAAATTAAAGAGCCATTTATTCTCTTAATTATTATTTAAATAAGGCATACTAAAAAATCCTATAGCTATAAAAATGAATGTATTCAAAACTAATAATATAAATACAAAAAATCATAAAAATAAACATAACGCGAGAAACCATTGCAAAATCAAGCTTACGTGTTTATATAATTTTGATCAGCCAGCTCTAGGACGTTAGAATTGTTTTAAACATAAAGACGTAATACAAACATTTGTAAAACACGATTATTGCGGGCCCGAAATGAGTTCGGACTTATTGGTGACTTTGTTGTCTGGTTCGTTATATCACAGTGGTTATACATTGCAATAAAATAGATTAAAATACTCAGGTAATAGACTATTTAAAATTTAGAGAAGCGGGCTACTTATATATATATATATATATATATATATATATATATATATATATATATATATATATATATATATATATATATATATATATATATATATATATATATATGGGGGGGGGGCCAAAAATTTTTTTTGCGGGGGAGCCTTTTTTTTCTAGTTCCGCCACTGGAAGTAGTCTACGTATTATTATCGTTATCTTATCACCAGTAAGTCACTTAAAACTTGTGGTATAGGTATAGACCTAATGTATTTCAAATCGAAGTAGTGTCGGTTTAAACTTATAATAAAACATTTTTAAAAGCGCTTGTAAGTCTTGCAAGTCTTTTGAACCTGCCTTTGTAGGCAAACTAACAGCAGTGTAAGCGTATTTCTAAAACCCGCGTTCCTTTTCTTACCTTTAAGTGTAAGACAGTGTTAGTTCTGACTAAGTCAAATTTAAGTAATTTAACGCTTACTTTTTATAACAATTTTACAAGTTTTTATAAAAGTTTACAAAAAAACTTCCGAGTGAGAACTGTTGGAATATATTTTCAATCAGTCAAAATTATTTAATAACATAGCTTAAAACATACTTCCAGAATGAAAAGTGAACAAATAAAAATTGAAAAAACTCACAGTATGAAACTAATTGCGATTTAATCAAGACATTTCTTCGCGGAGGAAACCCTGAATTGTGTTGAGTCTCGGTAATTTGTCTGAACTTTATACTTTATTTTTGGTCAGTCTTATTAGTGGACAGGAAGTTCAGATTATTTTGATGGAAAAACATGGTGGTATGTGGGGAAAGTAGGGGGGGGGGGGGTGGCCTTGGAAGGGGGTTGGAGTTGGGAGGCTGGGTCTAAGTAGAGATGGAAAAATCCGTGGACAGAGGCGGGGGTGGCGCCACCGTTTAAGAGTTGAGTAAACTGAACGCCGTCACCAAACTCAAAGCTTACGTAAGTGGTTTATATTACAGCTATTCGGGGCAATTAACCGCTGCGCGGCACAAGTGTAACAAAGTAGTGCTTGCGGTTTTGAAAAATGGATCATTTGTGGTTTCACTGTCATCTAAAACAGCGCTATACACAACTAATTGGGTTATCTAATTACACTGACACGTGACATCTGTCCTCTGAGTTATCTAACACGTGGGATCGTCTGCTGGTGTTTTAAGATTTTCTAAAACATTTTCTTAGCAAAACACGAATGAAACAAAAATCACGACTCTATTGAAGCTACAAATTTAAAGTTTCCCTTTCGAGTATGGTGGTGGATAAGGCGGATAGAGTTCATCTGTTTCTGTGACCTCGGCTTTCTTACTCTAGACGTCTCCAAGCTCACCCAGCTCTGATGGATACCAGACTTATGTTGGGGATAGTAAAGGCGGCTGGGCATAGAGGTCATCCTTAAATGACGTCACTCTTTTTTAATGATTATTACCTCCCCTCCGTCACACATCGTCACAAAAACCCAACACCCCTTATAATGACGTCACACTTCAGCCTACAACCCCCCCCCCCCTCAAAATTGCAGCTGAATTTTTGTTAAAACATGGACATTTTTCCTAAATTTATTCAAACAGTTTTCCAAAACGCGAAATAACGGCTAAAATTAGTTTTCAAGCATTGCTTTTTTATAATGCAAAAGTGTGACGTCACACCATCTGAACCCCGCTCCCTCCTCATCACACGCCGTCACAAAATTACGGCCCCCTTCCCCTCCTACGAGTGTAACGTCATTTATGGACGACCCCATAGTGCTGACCACACCATCTCTTTATAATATGCCGAGGTCCATTTTTATGGACTCTACTTCATCTGCCATGTGAATCTTTGGGTTCTGAATGAGGAACTTTACTTTATACCATGTCATAGAACACAAAATAATAAAATGAAAAACCACCCCAATACCGTCTGCGTGTTTTATGTGCGCGCTCTTTTAGCGCCCTCTACATTTATTTTATGCCGTGGGAACAACAACACAGAAACATTGCGTTGAATGTATAGACCAGCGTTTGAGGAGTAAACACAGTTGGGCCAGATTCTCACCAATTGCAGGGTAAATGAGCCATGTATCAATTTAATTAGAAACTGCACGGCCATATTCTCACCAACTGCAGGATTAATGAGCAATGTAGCAATTTAATTAGAACTTGGCGCAAAACACTTGGACCACACTTAAAAGGCGGCGGGATAACTCTATCACTCCTCTCTGTAAATACTGCATTTTCTGTACATACTCTCTCACACAAACGCGCATATATATATATATATATATATATATATATATATATATATATATATATATATATATGTTACGGTCAAAGCCCGAAGTGCGGCCAATGCTAGGATTGGCCGGCCAATCCACGCATTGGCCGGCTCTCTTGGCCAAAGCCCGAAGAACTTAGCACTAAGATCGTATTTCGTACATTGGCCGGCCAATGCACGCACTGGCCGGGACGTACTGGCCAAAGTCCGAAGCGCTTAAACTTGACAGCGTATTTTGTACATTGGCCGGCCAATGCGCGCACTGGCCGGTATGTCCTGGCCAATGATCTATCTAGACTAAGTTGTGATCGCATTTTCATTATTCTGGGTGCGTTTTCATTGAGAGTAACGTATTGTTTTGCTCTTGTTTATATAGCATTCTATATGCAAGTCGACATGGATCAAAAGGGCCGTCAGACCATGAGACAGACATAGCAGATGGCTGTCAAAAGAAAAAAAAATGTAAATCCATGTTAGTTTCCATATATGGGCTCTCGATAAAATAGTTACTGAGGAAGATCTTGAGAAAATTGAACAAGAAATGGAGGTTGCCATAAATGCAACGACATCCTCAGCTAACACATCTACTGCCGTAGCGGAACGTCCAGGCCAGTTGCGTGACAATTATGTGGCCAACAGATTCTGTATAGTTTGTGAAAAACATTGTAGTGCAGCTCATTCTTTTGGATCCGGTGGCAACGATGTCCATGCTATTTGTGGAATACCCAATGAAGCAGACGAAGGGTACGGAGGGAACATTACCTGCAGATTGTGTCACAACAAACAAGACATCATGGAACACATGTCAGCAGCTCATACTGGCTTGCAAACTCAAGGTGCTAAGATGCTTAAAACATCAAATACAAAATTTAAAGATGGTGAAGTGGGTGACAATGTACGCATCCGTTTTCCAGATGTTGACAGAGGTCACGGTGATCCCCGAAGCGTGATTGCAGTTGTCATGAGCGTCGAGGGCGGTTTCTACAAATTAGGAACGGCACATGGTGTTCTAAAACAACTGTATGCTAAAATTGAGTTTTCAATTCTTCACGAAAAACTGCTCTTATTGTCGTCAGTTGGCACTGAGGAAAAATCACTACGAACCATCGCATCTTCACAATCATTGACTGGGGGCCAAGGCTACACTCGCTGCAATTGCACAACTAAGTGCACAACAAATCGCTGCAAGTGTAAAAATAACAAGCTGCTATGTAATTCTAAATGCCATAAAAGTTCAACTTGTTGTAACAAATGATGATATTGATAGCTTGAGACTATAGTATAATAAAAAATTTGAATGTTTCTGTCATTTACTTTAATTAATAATCAATAAAGACTTAATTTCATGATCCTTACGGTATTAAAAAAAAACAATCTGCTCATGATCTTCTAATTCGAACTTTGGCCGGTCGTCCCTAGCCAGATGATCTTCTAATTAAGACTTTGGCCGGTCCACCATGACCAGTCCGCGGACTGGCCGGCCAAAGGCCGAAATCAAGAGCTATTTCAGACTTTGGCCGGTCCACCATGGCCAGTCTGCGGATTGGCCGGCCAAAGGCCGAAATCAAGCAATGTTTCGGACTTTGACCGACCTATGGGAGGCGATATTGGCCAATGCGCGGATTGGCCGGCCAATCCTAGCATTGGCCGACTTCGGGCTTTGACCGTAACATATATATATATTGTTACGGTCAAAGCCCGAAGTCGGCCAATGCTAGGATTGGCCGGCCAATCCGCGCATTGGCCAATATCGCCTCCCATAGGTCGGTCAAAGTCCGAAACTTTGTTTCATTTCGGCCTTTGGCCGGCCAATCCGCAGACTGGCCATTGTGGACCGGCCAAAGTCTGAAATAGCTCTTGATTTCGGCCTTTGGCCGGCCAGTCCCGGACTGGCCATGGTGGACCGGCCAAAGTCTTAATTAGAAGATCATGAGCAGATTTTTTTTTTATGCCGGTAGGATCATCTTTATTGATTATTAATTAAAGTAAATGACAGAAACATTCAATTTTTTTATTGTACTATAGTCTCAATCAATCAATATTATCATTTGTTACAACAAGTTGAACTTTTATGGCATTTAGAATTACATAGCAGCTTGTTATTTTTACACTTGCAGCGATTTATTGTGCACTTGGTTGTGCAATTGCAGCGAGTGTAGCCTTGGCCCCCCAGTCAATGATTGTGAAGATGCGATGGTTCGTAGTGATTTTTCCTCAGTGCCAACTGACGACAATAAGAGCAGTTTTTTTTGTGAAGAATTGAAAACTCACTTCTAGCATACAGTTGTTTTAGAACACCATGTTCCGTTCCTAATTTGTAAACACCGCCCTCGACGCTCATGACAACTGCAATTACGCTTCGGGGATCACCGCGACCTCTGTCAACATCTTTAAATTTTGTATTTGATGTTTTAAGCATCTTAGCACCTTGATTTTGCAAGCCAGTATGAGCTGCTGACCTGTGTTCCATGATGTCTTGTTTGTTGTGACACAATCTGCAGGTAATGTTCCCTCCGTACCCTTCGTCTGCTTCATTGGGTACTCCACAAATAGCATGGACATCTTTGCCACAGGATCCACAAGATTGAGCTGCACTACAATGTTTTTCACAAACTATACAGAATCTGTTGGCCACATTATTGTCACGCAACTGGTCTGGACGTTCCGCCACGGCAGTAGATGTGTTAGCTTAGGATGTAGTTGCATTTATGGCAACCTCCATTTCTTGTTCAATGTTCTCAAGATCTTCCTCAGTAACTATTTTATTGAGAGTCTCTCTTGGTAGATTTGAAGTGCTAAGTCCCACTTTTGCTTTGCATCCAAACAAGGCTTCGTATGGTGATTGTTGGATTCCTTGATGAAAAGAACGATTTTTCATAAATTGAATGAATTTGAGACTCTCAGCCCAATGAGCTGATTCATTTGTTTGCATCCATGTCATCATCATGTTTAGAACATCTTGGTTGGCACGTTCGACTGAACCTTGGCTTTGGCTATGCCTTGGTTTTCCGTGAACTAGTTTAAGTTCAGGCCACATGTTCTTTAGTTCAGAAATAACTTGATTCACAAATTCTCTTCCATTATCTGATTGAAGCACACTTGGGGCACCAATAGTCGTGAAGATATCCAGCAGCTGGTAAGCAACTTCTTCTGCTCTTTTGGTTTCCAAAGCTCGCAACAATATGAACTTGGTTAAATGATCCTGGTAACTGAATATAAACTTGTATTTGCCGTCTGGGTTACTTTGCATATCAATAAGATCTACTTGGCATCTTGAGTTAAATTCTTTAAATATCAAAGGTTTGGAAACAAGACCTTTCTTGGGATTAGACAATTTTGTCTGACAAGGCTTGCACAACCGAAGATACATAGTAATGATTTCTTTGGTGATATTTTTGTACTTTCTCTTGAGCTCTTTTTC